TCAAAACTTTCAGGCATTGACATCATTGATTTGACTCATTTGCATACAACCAATCAGCCCGCCGGAAATTATCGATTTTCTTTACTTTGTGGAAAGGTGAATATTAATTTCATATTCTGTGACGTCAATGTTTAATACACGTACATATTAGATTTACAATTGTACTTTTTTGTTACGAAGTTATATTCATTTCATATTCTGTCAATGTTTAATACAAATACCTACATATAGATATCTCAAACTGGGAACTGGGGACTGGGGACCAGCTTAGAAGATACATACATACATATGACATAGATATCTCAAAATGGGAACTGGGGACTGGGGACCAACTTATAAGATACATACAAATACATATATACACAAACATAGATATCTCAAACTGGGAACTGGGGACTGGGGACCTTCTTAAAAAGATACATACAAATACATACATATTATATATAGCATATAAATATCTCAAACTGGGAACTGGGGACTGGGGACCTTCTTAAAAGATACATACAAATACATACATATTATAAATAGCATATAGATATCTCAAACTGGGAACTGGGGACTGGGGACCAGCTTAGAAGATATATACAAATACATACATATATAACATGTATACAATACACATATATCTCATAAATTAAAGCATATTCATAGATATCTCAGATATTCATGAATTATTGTTATTTAATTAACATATACTATGCCAACTAATAAATTAATTGTTATGTATCTAGTCTATCTAATTAACATATTCCATGCTTGTATATATATCATACATATATATGAATACATATAATAATGTATGTATTTATCTAATTTGCATATTCTGTGCTGGCATATAATATATATATGCATGAATACATAGATATATGTATGTATACATATATGTATCTATCTAATTTGCATATTCTAGCCTGGTTTACATGGCCCATAAGCCAATTGATTCGTGTTTTATGATGCTCCTAGCCCATTAACAATATATATATGATATCAGAGTTATTCGTCTAAAATGTTTTGAGATATAGAGGTAAATGTGGAGGACGAAAGGATTTTCATGTGTGTACATTTTTCTCAAAAACGTCACATTCTATCATGTTAAAAGCGAGGATCCTCTGGATTACGCCACAAAATGTGTAACAATGCGTGCGCGAGCTTTTTGCAACCCGTCATGGCATGAAACTGGCCTAAAAAGTACGTCCCCCTTTCTCTGGTAAATTATGACTATTTTTTCGAAGTAATGTGTTTCGAACAACTGGGTTTCGGACAACTGGGGTGTACCCAATGTCAACGCATGTTTCATGTATCATACGTCATGTACGTGTATCAAGACAGTGATCAAATCACTCATTCACTGTCATGCATGATTGAATCAATTGTTCAAAATTCATGTTATCAATAAAGATCAAAATAAATATCTCACCAAACCGGTATTCTATTTTAAAAAAGGGCACTCCCACTATTTACAATATTTTACATATGTTTACAAAAACGAATGTGGTACGTACTTCAATAAACATTAAGATCGGATACACCCTTTGCAGACAGAGCCTGTGGGAAATATTGGGTGCGGTGCAAATGAGCGGAGGGTGCGGAGCGAACGGTCATTTTTTAATTTAAATTTGGGATATTTCTGAAACTAAGCCGTTTTGGGACTTCAAATATACCAAGATATGTGTATTTGACACCAAATATCAATAAAATTGTGAAAATAGTAGTGCAATTCATTCTATAGCGACGCAATATGCCTTAAACCTTTCCCAGACTTATATATTTTGAAATTATTCTTTTTATACTGCGTCCCCAGCATTTATAAAAAATGGTGTTCAAGATACACTATCCATACAAATTATTTTTGCATTTTGGAAGCCAGGCAGTATCTGTGTGATTTTATAAAAATTAGGAAATGTTCTTCAGATATGAGCCCCCTCTAAATATTGGGTGCGGAGGAGCTCACTAAACGTAATAATTTATCCTCCTTTCAACATTTCTCTCGACTTTTCAGCTTTATTTTTAGAGAACTCCCAGCAAGACATCATTACAATCCCAAGTATGACAGTACATCTCTTAAAAAGTTGCTACGGGCCTGCAAAGTATGCATTCGCGAATAATGATTCTGTACCGCATTTTTTACTTACTAGTATGATCATGACAAGTAGTGTGAAATTGAACATCTCCTCATTACAAATTATGGTCTACCATGATATATAGATAATTGAGCCTTGCCATAGGAAAACCTGTCTTATCACAGAATTGAAATTGTGCTATAGAGCCAAAAATGTGCCCAAGATTTAGAGGAAATGTGCTAAATTCAAATCCGACTTATTGGTTTATATATGCAAGGAAAAATTGTTAAGACACAAGCCATGGCTCATTTGAAAGTTCTCTTTGTGCTTTTAAAGATGAACAAAAAATCAGAATAGCCTGGCTCAATCCTTAAATCTGCAGAAGGCACTAAAAGTTGCTTTCCCAACCAATGTGTTCTAACTGATATTATTCCATGTGTTGTTTTATTTAATGATACAACTTAATCCAAAGAATCTAAAATTATTGTAAGAAAATGTTTGCGAGTCATATTTTCAATTCAGTAATTCAAAAAAGTATTTGTATTATTTTAAAGAAACGTGTGACACAGATGATAGCGACGCTAATACTAAAATTAAATATAATCTATTCTTGATTATTCTCCAAGTACTGTTGTATCTCATCTTCGCACGCTCTGTCTTCACTGCGACTGGAGCCGAGTGAAGAGAAACATTATTAATTTTTTCTGTAAAAACATTTTCTTCCTCATTGTTAAGCCTACTTTTTGAACTTAAATCTTGAATTGAAATACAGAACATACAGAACATATCGTGTAACATAATTTACACTTGCGTTTTGAAGGACTGATCAGTAGGGAGGTTAAGATTAGCGTAAAAATATACGTGTACCTATCCCTAGTCGTATGTTTGTTACGGATGCGTATAGGTAATGCGTATTGCAAAATGAGTTTAAGATTAACGTAAAAAGCTACGAAACCGTATGCTGCAATTTATGATAAAAATGACATCCTAATTATAGAATGAAAACCATGCGATGGCTTATATGGTACATACCAGTACATGTCACCTCCAAGAATGTTATGTACTTCAGAGAGAGAGTGTGGTGTAGCTACTGTAGTTGGGAGGGGGCGTTGCTTGTGGGCCCGCTTATGGGGCAGTGACTTAAGTCGAAATGTTAAATTTCTAGCATGATCCAGCAATGAGAGTGACCAAATAGTAAAGTTAACCAATTCAAACTGGGAAAATGGCTGATTTCATACATTTACAATAAGCAAAACTAATGAAAAAACTAAATTCAACAATTCCATGCATCATCACATGGCATCGTTTATCGCATCGATGAATGTGTTCGACCACTTAATTTCTATGCAGATCGAATGAGAAATGTTTGTTGTTACTATTTTAAAGTTTAATGGATGATATTTGATCTAGAAATGACATAATTTGTTGGATAAAAACATACGTTTTCGAATTACCTATCTTCGGCCATTTATAGGTAATAACGTATCATAAACCCTGTAACTTAGGTAAAATACCGCTTAGTGTAATAACAAACTACGTATAGGTATAGGTAAATGGGTTATTTACGCTAATCTTAAACTCCCTATTTTCGGAAAGTCTACCGTATTTGTAAATGATTGAATTACATAATTTGACAAGTTCCCATCTTGCGATGTAAATAGACTTTACACATTTTAGTGACTCCAATAATGGCACGGTGTAACGGCTATTAGTCTTTAATCTTCCTTTTCCCAAAAAGTGTTAATTATGCTACACTTACTACACTTACTACGTATACTACTACACTTACTACGTATACTACGCTACTACGCTGGGATGGGGTCAGGCTAGGAGCATGCTACACTTACTACACTTACTACGCATACTACGCTACTACGCTGGGGTAGGATGAGGATGGGAGCATACTACACTTACTACACTTACTACGTATACTACGCTACTACGCTGGGGTAGGGTCAGGCTAGGAGCATGCTACACTTACTACGTATACTACGCTACTACGCTAGGGTAGGGGCGGGCTAGGAGCATGCTACACTTACTACACTTACTACATATACTACGCAATTACGCTGGGGTGGGGTCAGGCTAGGAGCATACTACACTTACTACACTTACTACGCATACTACGTATACTACGCTACTACGCTGGGGTGGGGTCAGGCTAGGAGCATGCTACACTTACTACACTTACTACGCATACTACGCTACTACACTGGGGTAGGGTCAGGCTAGTAGCATACTACGCTTACTACACTTACTACGTATACTACGCTACTACGCTGGGGTGGGGGTCAGGCTAGGAGCATACTACACTTACTACACTTACTACGCATACTACGTATACTACGCTACTACGCTGGGGTGGGGTCAGGCTAGGAGCATGCTACACTTACTACACTTACTACGCATACTACGCTACTACACTGGGGTAAGGTCAGGCTAGTAGCATACTACACTTACTACGTATACTACGCTACTACGCTGGGGTGAGGGTCAGGCTAGGAGCATACTACACTTACTACACTTACTACGCATACTACGTATACTACGCTACTACGCTGGGGTGGGGTCAGGCTATGAGCATGCTACACTTACTACACTTACTACACTTACTACGCATACTACGCTACTACGCTTGGGTAGGGTCAGGCTAGGAGCATACTACACTTACTACACTTACTACGCATACTACGTATACTACGCTGGGGTGGGGTCAGGCTATGAGCATGCTACACTTACTACACTTACTACGCATACTTCGCTACTACGCTAGGGTAGGGTCAGGCTAGGAGCATACTACACTTACTACACTTACTACGCATACTACGCTACTACACTGGGGTAGGATGAGGATGGGAGCATACTACACTTACTACACTTACAACGTATACTACACTACTACGCTGGGGTAGGGTCAGGCTAGGAGCTACTACACTTACTATGTATACTACGCTACTACACTGGGGTAGGGTCAGGCTAGGAGCATGCTACACTACTACACTTACTACGTTTACTACGCTACTACGCTGGGGTGGGGTCAGGCTAGGAGCATACTACACTTACTACACTTACTACGCATACTACGTATACTACGCTACTACGCTGGGGTGGGGTCAGGCTATGAGCATACTACGCTTACTACACTTACTACGTATACTACGCTACTACGCTGGGGTGAGGGTCAGGCTAGAAGCATACTACACTTACTACGCTAATACGTATACTACGCTACTACGCTGGGGTGGGGTCAGGCTATGAGCATGCTACACTTACTACACTTACTACACTTACTACGCATACTACGCTACTACGCTTGGGTAGGGTAAGGCTAGGAGCATACTACACTTACTACACTTACTACGCATACTACGTATACTACGCTACTACGCTGGGGTGGGGTCAGGCTATGAGCATGCTACACTTACTACACTTACTACACTTACTACGCATACTACGCTACTACGCTGGGGTAGGGTCAGGCTAGGAGCATACTACACTTACTACACTTACTACGCATACTACGCTACTACGCTGGGGTAGGGTGAGGATGGGAGCATACTACACTTACTACACTTACTACGTATACTACACTACTACGCTGGGGAAGGGTCAGGCTAGGAGCTACTACACTTACTACACTTACTACGCATACTACGTATACTACGCTACTACGCTGGGGTGGGGTCAGGCTATGAGCATGCTACACTTACTTCACTTACTACGTATACTACGCTACTACGCTGGGGTAGGGTCAGGCTAGGAGCATGCTACACTTACTACACTTACTACATATACTACGCTATTACGCTGGGGTGGGGTCAGGCTAGGAGCATACTACACTTACTACACTTACTACGCATACTACGTATACTACGCTACTACGCTGGGGTGGGGTCAGGCTATGAGCATACTACGCTTACTACACTTACTACGTATACTACGCTACTACGCTGGGGTGAGGGTCAGGCTAGAAGCATACTACACTTACTACACTTACTACGCATACTACGTATACTACGCTACTACGCTGGGGTGGGGTCAGGCTATGAGCATGCTAGACTTACTACACTTACTACACTTACTACGCATACTACGCTACTACGCTTGGGTAGGGTCAGGCTAGGAGCATACTACACTTACTACACTTACTACGCATACTACGTATACTACGCTACTACGCTGGGGTGGGGTCAGGCTATGAGCATGCTACACTTACTACACTACTACGCATACTACGCTACTACGCTGGGGTAGGGTCAGGCTAGGAGCATACTACACTTACTACACTTACTACGGATACTACGCTACTACGCTGGGGTAGGGTGAGGATGGGAGCATACTACACTTACTACACTTACTACGTATACTACACTACTACGCTGGGGTAGGGTCAGGCTAGGAGCTACTACACTTACTACACTTACTACGTATACTACGCTACTACACTGGGGTAGGGTCAGGCTAGGAGCATGCTACACTTACTACACTTACTACGTTTACTACGCTACTACGCTGGGGTGGGGTCAGGCTAGGAGCATACTACACTTACTACGCATACTACGTATACTACGCTACTACGCTGGGGTGGGGTCAGGCTATGAGCATGCTACACTTACTACACTTACTACGTATACTACGCTACTACGCTGGGGTAGGGTCAGGCTAGGAGCATGCTACACTTACTACACTTACTACGTTTACTACGCTACTACGCTGGGGTAGGGTCAGGCTAGGAGCATACTACACTTACTACACTTACTACACTACTACGCTGGGGTAGGGTCAGGCTAGGAGCTACTACACTTACTACACTTACTACGTATACTACGCTACTACACTGGGGTAGGGTCAGGCTAGGAGCATGCTACACTTACTACACTTACTACGTTTACTACGCTACTACGCTGGGGTGGGGTCAGGCTAGGAGCATACTACACTTACTACACTTACTACGCATACTACGTATACTACGCTCCTACGCTGGGGTGGGGTCAGGCTATGAGCATGCTACACTTACTACACTTACTACGTATACTACGCTACTACGCTGGGGTAGGGTCAGGCTAGGAGCATGCTACACTTACTACACTTACTACGTTTACTACGCTACTACGCTGGGGTAGGGTCAGGCTAGGAGCATACTACACTTACTACACTTACTACGTATACTACGCTACTACGCTGGGGTAGGGTCAGGCTAGGAGCATGCTACACATACTACACTTACTACGTATACTACGCTACTACGCTGGGGTGGGTAAGGCTAGGAGCATACTATACTTACTACACTTACTACGCATACTACGGTACTACGCTGGGGTAGGGTCAGGCTAGGAGCATGCTACACTCACTACACTTACTACGCATACTACGCTACTACGCTGGGGTAGGGTGAGGATGGGAGCATACTACACTTACTACACTTACTACGTATACTACACTACTACGCTGGGGTAGGGTCAGGCTAGGAGCTACTACACTTACTACACTTACTACGTATACTACGCTACTACACTGGGGTAGGGTCAGGCTAGGAGCATGCTACACTTACTACACTTACTACGTTTACTACGCTACTACGCTGGGGTGGGGTCAGGCTAGGAGCATCCTACACTTACTACACTTACTACGCATACTACGTATACTACGCTACTAACTGGGATAGGGTCAGGCTAGGAGCATACTACACTTACTACACTTACTACGTATACTACGCTACTACGCTAGGGTGGGGTCAGGCAAGGAGCATACTACACTTACTACACTTACTACGTAAACTACGCTACTACGCTGGGGTGGGGTCAGGCTAGGAGCATACTACACTTACTACACTTACTACGCATACTACGTATACTACGTTACTACGCTGGGGTAGGGTCAGGCTAGGAATATGCTACACTTACTACACTTACTACGTATACTACGCTACTACGCTGGGGAAGGGTCAGGCTAGGAGCACACTACACTTACTACGTTTACTACGCTACTACACTCTGGTAGGCCCAGGCTAGGAGCATAATACACTTACTACACTTACTACGTATACTACGCTACTACACTGGGGTAGGGTCAGGCTAGGAGCATGCTACACTTACTACACTTACTACGTTTACTACGCTACTACGCTGGGGTGGGGTCAGGCTAGGAGCATACTACACTTACTACACTTACTACGTATACTACGCTACTACGCTGGGGTGGGATCAGGCTAGGAGCTTACTTCACTTACTACGCATACTACGTATACTACGCTACTACGCTGGGGTGGGGTCAGGCTAGGAGCATCCTACACTTACTACACTTACTACGCATACTACGTACACTACGCTACTAACTGGGATAGGGTCAGGCTAGGAGCATACTACACTTACTACACTTACTACGTATACTACGCTACTACGCTGGGGTGGGGTCAGGCAAGGAGCATACTGCACTTACTACACTTACTACGTAAACTACGCTACTACGCTGGGGTGGGGTCAGGCTAGGAGCATACTACACTTACTACACTTACTACGCATACTACGTATACTACGTTACTACGCTGGGGTAGGGTCAGGCTAGGAATATGCTTCACTTACTACACTTACTACGTATACTACGCTACTACGCTGGGGAAGGGTCAGGCTAGGAGCATACTACACTTACTACGTTTACTACGCTACTACACTCTGGTAGGCCCAGGCTAGGAGCATGTTACACGTACTACACATACTACACTTACTACGTGTACTACGCTACTACGCTGGGGTGGGGTCGGGCTAGGAGCATACTACACTTACTACACTTACTACGCATACTACGGTACTACGCTGGGGTGGGGTCAGGCTAGGAGCATACTACACTTACTACGCATACTACGTATACTACGCTACTACGCTAGGGTAGGGGCAGGCTAGGAGCATACTACACTTACTACGTATACTACGCTACTACGCCTGGGTAGGGGTCAGGCTAGGAGCATACTACACTTACTACACTAACTACGCATACTACGCTACTACGCTGGGGTAGGGGTCAGGCTAGGAGCATACTACACTTACTACACATACTACGTCTACTACGCTGCTACGCTGGGGTGATCTCAGGCTAGGATTGCACAGGCTACGTATACTACGCTGCTACACATGTTTTTTCACATGGTCGTGCAGCACATGCATGAGAATTTCCCTATAAAGCATTTGGGTAATTAGCGGCCATCTTGGACATAATGAGGTCGCATGAGCTTACAAAACGCTCTTACCCAAACTTTCAATAGTTTTCAGATTAGAACTTTACTAAGCTATACTTATAACCGCTATAGCGAAATAACTGCGAAGCCTCGGTTTGAACATCCGGGCATGTCGGGTTATTTCAGTTCATAAAAAGTAGGAAGTAAAAATTTCGTTAAGTTTGTACAAATAACAGGTAAGTCACTTACTTAACATCGTTAAATTATATACTAAAGGCTTCTTCGTGTGTAAATACATCAATGTAATAAAACATAAAACGATTATTTCCAGACCTGATGAAGGAATCCATGTTGAATGGTAATTGACATTTTATTTCATATTTTTTGCCATGATTTTTGCATACCAAAGCCAGTGAGTCATGACGTTTCCTTTCATACTGGTCTTATCATTTTTGATTGTCAGTTTAATAATACATTGTTGCATCTAAATATCATTATCAATATAAAAAATTTAATTGGGTACAATTTGTAGGCTACAAATCGCGGAGTACAAATCTGCAGTTTCAAATCCATCCTCGATATGTAAGAATCAAGGTGTATACATTGGTGTAAAAGGTTGCCAAAAACGTTTACATTTCAAGGGACTAAGCTTTGGTATCAAAACATTATGGATGGTTCGCTAATATTCATCCCAGGGTTTAGCGAAAATGAAAAAATCTATAGGAAAAAACTTTTCAATATTGAAAATAGAATCAGTGTAAAAATATGTATATATGTACATTCTGAATCATGTTCAAAATATGGAGTCATTTCCTCTCTATTTCAGTGAGTTACATTGCATATAAATAATAGTTCCTCAGATAAAACTCAATGATATATGTGCAAATGGATTGTTTCCTAATATGGTCATTTCAAAGCAAATAAACATTTGAAATTACATGCACTATTATTTAAAAGAATAACAGGCTTATTTCTTGCAAAAGCGGTTTCTTTTTTAAAAACGAAAACAAAAAAACAAACGCGGTTTCTTCTTATGTCATATTTTTAACTCAGTTTTCTTATTGTAATCCATGCAACAAGCATTATTCCCAGAGCAATATACAAGATTGTAGTTGAAATAATCTTGATTTACTTCATTAAATATTCAAAATTTAGTTAAATGAATATCATATTTGAAGTCTATAGTAAATTGCTTCGAGAAATGTGGTTTAAAAAAGTATTTATCAACTTTGAAAAGTGAAATATCTAAAAGTACTTTCTTTTACTGGACATAAGGATTATATGAAAATTGATCTACTTCAGCTGATGATATTCAAAGGAACTTTCTTATATACCTGCCATGTTAATTAACCCGAATCAGCCACCAGGTGGTGAAACTGGTTACTACATACTTGCATGAGTGGGCACTTGTATGAATTGGTTTCTAACTTAGTTTTCATGTCAATCTCAACGCCTCAAGTGGTGACATAAATGAACTTAAGTTATTATTGGTGACATATTGTTATGGTCTCCAACTTTTTTATAGATGGTTATCAGTGGTTGGTGTTCGGGCGTCTGCCTCTGTAAAAATGGCGTTTGTAACAAATTTTTGCAACTTCCAATAATTGGCGGCGACATTTTGTCCTGTTAATGCCTTGTTTACTCATTTAAAGACAGTTTAAATTGAAATATGTTTCTAACAATCCTAACCAAAGCATACTTGTTTTTCCAGAAATCAAAATGTCTAGTCGTAAAACCAAGGGAAAGACTACTAAGAAGAGGGCCCAGAGAGCCACTTCTAATGTCTTTGCCATGTTCGACCAGGCCCAGATCCAGGAGTTCAAAGAGGCCTTCAACATGATAGATCAAAACAGAGATGGCTTTATAGACAAGGAAGATTTACATGATATGTTAGCTTCTTTAGGTGAGGACAGAAAATGTAGTGTTATTGATAGACTGGAGACATTTTCCAACAGTTTGACATCGTTTAGATGATAGATTCCGTTGCCAACATAGTTTTATCTGATTTGACCTGAAATATCACCCAATTAAATTTTAATCAGACATATCAAATCTATTCAGGCTAACTATACAGCTTTATTGGCATTTATTTATAACACAGTGATCTCCCCAGCATTAGAGCAACAGGGTGCTGTACTTTATGAATATTCAAAAACACATGCCAAAGATGCCATGTTGTTGAAATTCTGTTTGCATCCCATCAAATTGGTAAGATATTTTGTTCCAAACAGGTTAAAAATTTAAGAGATAAATTGTTCTGAATAGTGCATTTTGTCACATTTTTTCGCGATATCTGACTGCATTTTGTGTCTTTTGGGTCTTTTTAAGAGTCCATGCAGATATGAATACTTGATCTAGAGCTCTGAAATTTTCAATACCAGAATTTGGTAGCACTATGTCTTGATATCCTGTGTTTGGACTCTAACCAAATCACAGTTGTTGAGAAAAAAATTCATAAGAGCAGTTTTAATTCAAAATTAGTTGAAACAGCACTCAAGACAGCTTTCCTCATTTTTGAAAGCCGATAGATCGGCAAGCATTTACACCATGATCTTGAATCTGGGCATACATATTCTTAATGGCACTTTCTCATTGCCCAGATATTGTGGAAACATTGTGACTTATATTCCATGTGATAGTAAGCACTGAAAATGGACTTGTTGCTTTGTGGCGGACCCCATACAAAACAAACATAGGGGTGGGGGGGGGGGGTTAAACGTTGATCATTTCTGCTATTTTTTGTGGCTATTGGTCATATAGTAGATCATTTTGTCAAAAGGTAAGGGTGATCCGAGAAAAAGTTTGTAAATTGAAACAGCCTATTAGATTTCATTATGATACATTGTACAAAATTGAAATTGTATATATATGTAAATTATATAAAATATGTAGAGTCCTATATTTTAATAATAAATGAATTTGATTGTCAAGTAACAAGTGAAGATGTTTTATATGCATTGATTTGCTTTCTATCAAAACAAGTTTTTAATTGTATGCTGCAAAATGATAACATTGACCACGCCCACTTTCCAGGGGTAGGGTACTATAAAGTCATATTAAAAATCATAAATAGTACATTATCATTATTATAATTGTATTACAATATCAAACAAAGCTTGAATTAGTTTTTAGAAAACAATTTTGAGCTATTTAAGCTGCCATCTTTTGCTGGAAGCTACAAATATAAGATACGTGAGACTTAAAAATGACTAAAATTGCGTATTTTTTTCCTATTAATTGCAATATTTCTGAGACTAATACAGATATCAGCCTATAACTTTAGTATATTATTCATCTTTGGACTAGTAATGTGTGCTGTAGAAAGCAGAACAATAGCAACAATATCCTTTATGTTATGAAATAGTCTTATAGTACCCCCTGAAATCGCAGGAATTGAAGTCCAATTCGGCCGTGAAAATTGTTTTTACCACTTTAAAGGCCATCACCTTATATTTTCTTACACCTACTAGGTTACTCTAACATACTGCATTGCCAAAAGTTACTTCTTGCAAACTTCCGGCAAAACTGTGCCAGCATCTGATACATCTGGGAATATCATTCTTTGCATGAATTTTTTTGCTAAAGCCATTGACATAATTGTCAATTAAGGTCATATTTCCCTATACAGTGTCATTATGGTAACATAACATTATAACTGTAACTGCCAAATATATAATTCATATCATTGAAAACAATGATTTTGACTGGAAATTAAAATCATGTCGAAAGAAGCATCTGATGAGTACAGTACTATACCATTGGTTTTAATGAAAATACTATTTTAAAAGCATATTTGTTAGTATTTATTTGGACTATTTATTTCCTTTTTTCAATAAAGAAAATATCAAAATTTTGATTTTATTGAGTTAGAGTATAAAACATATCTAATGGTCATAACAAGAAAAAGAAAATCATTTGGAAACTAAACTTAAATGTTCACATAAAACTTCACACATTTGATAAAGAAATTGAGAGCATTTTCATTAAAATGTATTATATGCATTGCTCCTTATATTTGTTATTTGTTTATTTCAAGGTAAAAATCCCACAGATGAATATTTAGATGGTATGATTAATGAGGCCCCTGGTCCAATTAACTTCACTATGTTCCTCACAATGTTTGGAGAGAAATTGAATGGAACCGATCCAGAAGATGTCATAAAGAATGCATTTGCTTGCTTTGATGAGGAACAGACAGGTAAAGATTGGTTTCATTTATTATGTCACTACCAAAATTGGTGACATATTGTTATGTGGTCTCCAACATTTTTGTGACGGCAGTTGGCATTCAGAGTTTGGCATATGTAACAAATGGGAGGTGGTGACATTGAGCATGTTAATGCATTATCCATAAATAAAACAGTATTTAGATTATCCTATCAAATGAACATCTAAGAGATAAAGAGTATGCCTGTGTCTATCTATTCTAGATTTCCTAAGATCTTGCCTTGCCATTCTCTTGTTCTAAAATCGTAAAACTTGTTATTGTAGTTTCGATTTTCTTTTGTCCAAAATGATTGAAAATGTATAAAACTTCTTCTTGTTTAAAGCATGGTTGTCCGTCTCTGTCTCTCTCTCTTTGTTTTTCTGTCTCTGTTCGGACATCTCCTCCTGGACCTTCATACTTGGTCAACATTCTAAGTTGGTCAATGGTTGTTCTATCACTATTCAACAGCTGGATGACTCAAACTGCAGTTAGCTTCATTCAAGATGGTTGTCGAAATTCTTTCGTTTTCGATAAACCTCCGATTTCAGCTAAACAACGTTGAATCTGGATTCCAAATGTTTCGCCATGCAAATTAATATTTAGAGTCATCCAGCTGTAGAGCAGTGTCTATGAAGGTCAGAGGTCAAGCTCATCCTAAGATCAATATCTAGGTATTTGGCCCTTCAAGGCATTTGGGGACTGAGTGACCCTTGGCAACCCCCGATTAGGTGACCTGACCTGTGGTCAAGATCATTCCAAAGTCAAAGTTCATCCAGGTATTTGGGTTTGAAAGCCACTTTGGGCAGCTGTGACCCTTGGTGACCCATGATTAGATAACTTTAGGTCAAGGTCATTTCAAGGTCAAAGGCCAATATATGATATTTGAGGTTTTAAAAGCCTTTAGGCCCTAAGGCCCTTGGCGACCCATAATTAGGTGACCTGATGTCAGTTACATTTTGTGGTGACATCAAGTTTGGATACTCTGTTCAACATGTCTAACGGGTTGATTGCTAGTTATTCATAATCATAATAGTTCTTAGCTTTGTATGAAACTATCCAAGGCAATCAATAGAGACACTCGCCATCATAAAACTGTCAGTTTGCTAAAAGACACTGACGAAGATGTTCATTTCTATAAAAAGTAGCTTGAAGAAGCGGTGAACATGAAAACTTCAAAGTTGAACACCTTTAAAAACATATAAGTTGAACATTAAATGAATATGTTGATTTACTGAAATATTATGAAGTACAGTACAGTAAAACTAGTCTTAGTGAACACTTCTTTCTAGTGAACACATGTGTTTAGGGAACATAATTTCAAGACACATTTTACATTCCCCTCTCTGTAGTGAACACCTACCGATAGTGAACAACTACCGATAGTGAACACTTTTTGTGGCTCCATAGGTGTTCAATATGTACAGGTTTTATTGTATGTATCATTTTCTTGACAATCTAAGATTATTTTTGAATAATAGACCCTACATACCAAGTTTTATTTTTTAATTTGCTTTCATAGTACTAATATCCATGTATGCATCTTGAAATTAATATTAGTCTCACCTGTCAAATTGGATTATATCTTAAAATTTACAAAGAAAGAGGTATGAACCTATGAACTAGTTATCACTAATGTGTTCTGATATCTCTGTAGCTTCAAGTGTTTGCACACAACCCTGTATAGCTTGATGCATAAGGGTCGTCATGGGCTCTTAGCGTGAAAGTCAATCCATTTGCCTCAACTTTTGTGTTGCATGTTTGTGTTTTGAATGTCCTTTCAACAAAATGATTGCCCTAGAATATAAGATTTTCATTAATGTACTAACCATGACAAAACTCATGTCATGATTATAAGTAATGACAGTTAAAGATCTTGTGTAATGTGATAAATAACAGAAGATAAAGATCAATAAATTGAATGGCCGTGTTGCAGTTGTTGAAAAAATAAAATTATATCGAGCACATGTGAGAAAATATTTAAAAAACAAAATTTTACCAAGAAAAATTTGTCTTCCTAAGATTTACCAAAAATAAAACTAGTATCCAATGTCTAGTATCCAATGTCTTATTCCAGGTTACATCAATGAAGACAGACTAAGGGAACTTCTCACAAGTATGGGAGATAGATTCACTGATGAACAGGTAAGACAAAGCTGAAAACATGAGAGTAAAAAATGGTTGAGTTGAAAACTGTAGTTTTGAATCAGTACCCTGTACCCCCTCTCTCTCGTAAGGGAAAGAGAGTAAGTGGGGAGGTGGTTATGTACAATGTCTTGATACAGGACAAATATATCTCATTAATTCCTGTGTTTTTTATTTTTTAATTTATCACAATTTTGCAGAGTTGTATAAAAGCAAGTGTTGTGGTCATTTGTAGGAGTGCATAAAATAAGAATTTTTAGCCAGTTGAGAATAGAGATTGAGAACACATTTGTTAGTATTTGCTACATGATCAAGAAAAGCAAAGAATGGGTATCGATATGGCGAACTTTTTGAACACACGTTTCTCTTAAACCAGTCATCGAACATTTCTGAAAATCTCACAAATTGTCAATTTAATGGCCATCTTCTGAATGGTAACATAATTTGAAATATATATACATACTTTCATCTATATTGTTTTAAAAAACCATCAAACACTTGTTTTGTTCTTGGTATCATGTTTCCAGAGTGAAATGAAACATCTTTCCGAACCTCATTGGAACAAAACGACATAAACACAACATGTTTAGGTCTCTCAATATTGTAATTGTACAAAGGAAATTTTGGTTCATTTTAAAAAAGTATCTTGTTAATGAAATAAAAGTTTTTCTTGATTTTTATCTACTTTTGGGGGATTTTGTTAATTTTTTGAATACTTTTTTAAAATCAACCAAATATTCCTTTGTATAACTACAGGGTGTCCAAAAAAAAACAGGACCGTAAGAAAGTTGAATAACTCGGTCAATTTTGCATATTTTGCCTTGAAATTTCAGAATTATTTAGTTCATTCAATGTGAATTTTGTTGTGAAAGTTTGATAATAATCTATCAATTGAGTCAAAAACTACAGCTCCTTACAAAACATGCCTCAAATGTGCACCTCTCATCTCTATGCTCAATTCAATCCGGCGAACAAAGTTGTTGATGATCCTCCTACACACATGTCTTTCTGAATGGACAGGTTTGTTCAAAGAACAATTGCTACTGGAGCTTACCTCCTCCTGATGAAGTGTTACAGCATCCATTGCATTCTGAACAATGCACTGCCTGGGTGGCAATGAGGAAATATGGAATCATCAGTCCCTTTTGGTTCGAAGGTGACTGGGGACGTGCTATCACCATGAACAAGGACCAGTAAGTTCTCACCAACTTTTGGAGGTCACTAAGCACCAGAAGGGACATCTAAGGAGATAACTAAGCAGTGGTTTCAACAAGCCAATACCACCCCACACTGCAAATGATATGCTGAAATGGTTTAGGCAATGCTTTGGTGGTCAGCTCATCAGTTGCAGAACGCAAACCATATGGGCACCTCATTCACCTGATCTAAATCCCCCAAATTTTTATCTTTGAGGATTTCTCAAAGCCAATGAGTATACTTACAGGCCCCTAACAATCTTAAGAGGGCAATAACTACCCCAATATTTACCATCCACATTAATGTGTATAGGTCAGGGTCATTAACAACTTTGTTCGCAGGATTCGTTTGTGCATAGAGAGGAGAAGTGCCCACTTTGAGCATGTTTTGTAAAGGACTGTAGTTTTTGACACAATGAACAGGTTATCATCAAACTTTCGGAACGAAATTCACATTGAATGAACTAAATAATTCTAAAATTTCAAGGGAAAATATGCAAAATTGACCGAGTTATTCAACTTTCTTACGGTCCTGTTTTTTTTGGACACCCTGTATAATATTGAGAGGTCTAAAAACATGTTGTATATGCTATTTTGTTCCAACAAGGTTCGGAAAGACATTTTATTTCATTCTCAAGAATTGGTAGAAAGGAGCAAAAACAATTGCATTAAAAAAACAAAAAATGTTAACAAAAACAGTTATATAAAATATTTCTAAATAATTTTCGCATTAAATCAGTCAACAGAATGTTTTCAGTGATTGGTTTAAGAGAAAAACATTGTTGAATTCAGTTCTCCATATCGATACCTATCCTTTCTTAATTTCTTGCTTGAAGCTACATTTCTGAAACATTCTTGCAGGTTGATGATATGTTCAGGGAGGCACCAATTAACAAAGGTAACTTCAACTACATTGAATTCACAAGAATCCTCAAACACGGAAAGAAAGAAAAAGATGAAGACCAAGCCCCAACTTTGTAAAAATCATGGACATAGTAGCAATGATATGACAGGAATGTTCAACTCCTGGACAATAGCCAAGTAATATATCTTGAAGCATCACATTGCTTCTGAGCATAACATCATGCTACGGGGTCTATTTTTAGTTAGTTCAACCAAGCTGCTATTGGCAATTCTTGGCAGGTCTAAAACCAACATTGTACATAACTATACAGTGTTTTAGAATCATATTATAAGTTCAGAGTGTGCTGAAAAAATAGATCCCCTTCTGAGCATGGAGAATACATGAACTCTGGTACTGGTAGTATTCACAACTGACTGAGATTAATCATGTAATTGTACTATACTGTATAAATATGATATGTTACAATGACTACTCCTGTTTACTTGGCTAGATGTCTATCAGTTGACAGGGTTTATATATAGAAAGTTAGGAATGCATGTAAAATGACATAGTTGCTGAGAGAGAAATACACATAGACATCGTCTCACTGAGAAAAGAATATACAGAATCATAAACAATCACTTAATTCAAAGCTGTGATTTCAAAGTCCAAGTCATTCTGATTCTGTGAAATTGGCCTATCTTTATTGGCTTGATATTATGAGAGTACTCTATAACAGTACTTTGTGTATTTAGTTTAATACTTTTAGGTTACGGGATGGAATATTACGCTTTCTTGTAGTTCCTATAAAGCTTGTATTGCATAACATTTGCATAATCAAATTACTAATTAGTTCAGCAAGGTGCATCATGTAGATAAGAGAAATGCAAGAGCGATAAATAAACTAATTATTAGTAGGTCTTATCATTAACCTGTGTATAGCACTCCTCGAATGCTTCATTCATCAGATTCAAGATTACTTTTGCAATCTGCATTTTTCTTGTGATCCCACTGAAAGTGCATGCTTTAATCCAGCAGTGTAATATGTTAAGATTTACTGTATATAGGTATATCTGTACTTGTATATAAGTCTTGATATAGAAAGGGTGATGTAGAAAATAGACACCTCTTTGTGGTTTTTATGATAGTACATCATAGCTTTTGTACAAAACCGAATGTTAATCAATTAAATACTGCTTAATTAAATAATAATTTTATTGAGGGAGGAAGGTATACAAATGGGTATTATAATTTTATGTGTGAATGATAATTATTATCTTATTTCACTCATATTAATTGGTCTGATTGTTCCATAATATCAGCTATTTTTGTATCACCTCCATTCCCATCAAAGCTTGCAAATGCAAAATTTACACTGTACTTCATATAAAATGTAAAAATGTATAATTTAGATTTTAAAAGAGCAATTTAAGTTTGAACATAAAGTTCACTTGATAGGTGTTAAAACTGAAAACTAAGTTCTTGTAGCTTTTCAATTTAGATGAAATTAAAACATATTTTTGAATCTAGAACCCTGTATTATGAAGTACAGTTATCCATTCCTACCCGACCAATTGTATATCTTTTATATTCATTATCTTTACAATAAACCATATTATTAAAAAAAGAAGTTATTTTGTGTCTTTTTATTGTTAATATGATATTAAAATGATGACAGTAAGATCATAGTAAACAGTATGAAACATAAAACCACCTCAATTACATTCATATTCACTGGAGCCAACAACTTGACAAGCATCTCAATGGTGTTTTATCTTCAAAGGGATCATGTTGCCATGTTGCATTATTTAATAATCTACATCTACATCATGATTTTCAAATCATTTCTCTGAACATTTTTTATGATGTACAAACTACCAATATAGGATACTACTATAAATAAATTATAGCCAATACTAAAATTACTATTGCAGTTGATCACCTTGACGCTGAGGCCCAGGAATACGTTAAAAATGTTTAAAAAGTCTGCTAGTGTACTGAGTTGTTAATGCGTGGTGTATACATGTATATAATAATCTTTTACTAAGATCACTTACATGTATAAGAATAAGACTGATTTTTATAAGCTTAATGGATACCCGGGCCTCAGCCTTGACGTTTGCAGTAAAAAATTGTAACAGGAGTAAAAAGAAGGTGATGGAAAAGAATTTGAGCCTGAAGGAGTGATTTCTGATATCTTATACCTCATGCAAACTTTTTTATCTTGAAAGAAAAGCTTCTCGTAACTAAAATCAATAATGTCATAGGTCACCCATATTACTAGGCATAGACAGTGTCCAAGGTAATAGCTGAGACCATCATATGTTAGTCTCAGGTAGTAGTCAATACATGACTATGGCAATTTGAACCCAAGTTAATGCATGGCAAGTGTTATATACATAAAAACATTTATTAGACTTGATAAGTTATTCTGAGAAACGGGTACAAGTATAAGTAAGGAGTAGGTATCATTGATCGAGACCATGTACAAGTAGGACAATTAGTACCCCCCCCCACCCCGAGTACCATATAAGATGGATACTAATTTGAAAACATACACGGGGAATAATCTGCCAGAAAAAGCAAGTTAATTGGTATTAAAGTTACAACCAGAGGGGGAGAAACACCAGGGTTCAAAGATGACATACGCTTATAATGTAAATCTGTATTGAGATGACACGGTCGCTGATTGGTCAAAAGTCGACAAACAAATGACGTCATCAATGGCGGTTTCAAATTTTCGAAATACGCTTCGAATAATATTATGTTCATTTCTGGCGTGTTAACCAATATCATAGTTTCTCATTTCACATCAAGATAAAGAAAGGTGTACGGAATATGCCTATATCAATTATAACATCCAATCGAAGTGTAGTATTTGATAACTAGCCGATGAAAATTCAAACGAACGAAGGTGGTAAGCAAGAGAGGTAATTATGTCTGTCATCTTGAAACTCTGGGGCTTTCCCTCCTCTTGTTACAACTTTGCATCAGAGTCTGCTGGAAAAGCTATTTTTATTTTAAAAGGTTCAGCAAGGCATGATCTGGTTGGCAGTAGATGTTCAATTTTGTTCATGTATCGCAATAATGTTATTTTGTTTGATAAAAGATGTCAGGTCAGTTTACTTCGCCTAAATAGTTATTTCAACTCAAATTGAATTTCTCAATGCTATGGCGACTATAATTACTTCCGCTTAAAAGTAGCAGGTGTCTTACGTTTCAGAGTTATTTTAACTTCTTAGTTCAAGCACTTTTTAAATGCATGATGAATTTAGTACAATAATAATCATTTGCCTGATATATCAAAGTTTCTTGGTAAGTAAAACATTGAAGTTTTTGAGTTATATATGTGTAAGAATATGGGATGAAAAAAGTTTCAAACTTTCAAAAAAGTTCAATATTTAAAAAAAAAAGTTTCAAAACTTTTTTCTGAAGAAAGTCCCATAACCAAATGTCTCATAAATGATTATATCTTTTTCGAGACAATTAATTTTTACTTCTTTATTGAGAAATGCGGTTCTGGTTTATAATAGCAGATAGAACTTTTATTTTTACCCCAAAGTTGCAATAAAGTTCACCATCATGCCATATTAGATTTAGGCTAGATTCTAGATCTAACATGTTTTTATTAAATGCTGTTGAACTCTACATTAGAGGGTTGTTGCCATAGGAGACACAATCAGGACCACCTAATTTTTTGCATGTTGAGTCGCACCACACATTCACCTATCTAGTTACCAAAAAGAAGTCCCAAATCCCCCGCTATAATCATGTACTTTTTATTATAATTATAATATGTACTTATTATTATGTACTTATTTTGCGATTGTACTGACTGGTGGAATCATTTTCACTGGAATTAATTAAATCTGAAATTTGAATATACAAAATACTTGCGGGAAATCCATATGTTATCTGATCTGTTCTTATATCTTATCATGACCAAGGGAATTTTGTAAATGGCAGTTCTGGAAATTCTAAAAGCAAATCAAAAACTAGCTCTGAATTTGATTAGCTCCCTGGTTCCAGGCACGTGTCCACTGGCAATTTTGTCAATTGACATTGTGTTGCAATCTGTTGATTGGGCTTAAATACAATTTGCAAGAAACATTGGTAATGATTCAAGTACCAAAATGGAGGTTTGACCAATAAGAAAATGGATAAAAACAGATTCAGTAAAGTTACCAACCGTGCACATTTTCAGTTTGCATACAGTCTGATGATGCATTTCTAACACTAACGGTCACTATAAATTGAATTTATATTTGTCTGCAAATGCCAATCCAAAATTATGATTTTTGATTAACAAAATCTGGCATTAATGATGTAAATCAAAAGTCAATAAACAAATGACGTCATCAATGGCGGTTTCAAAATTTTCGAAATACGCTTCGAATAATATTATGTTCATTTCTGGCGTGTTAACCAATATCATAGCTTCTCATTTCACATCAAGATAAAGAAAGGTGTATGGAATATGCCTATATCAATTAAAACATCCCATCAAAGTGTAGTATTTGATAACTAGCCGATGAAAATTCGAACGAACGAAGGTAGTATGCAAGAGACGTAATTATGTCTGTCATCTTTAAGCACTGGGGCTTTCCCTCCTCTTCTTGGGATGGATATGCTTTCAATGGTCTTTGTAGCATTGAAGTAGCTGGGTCCTGGACCCTGTTGAAAATGTAAAAATTATTTGTCACATTTTAAAAGCACTTTCCAAAATCCAATCTTAATTCATCAAGTACATAGACTATACAGTACTTTTATAATTGAATAAATCTTCCATTTCCTTTGAATGGGATAAGAGATATCAGATATCAATGCTGTGTTATTAACTGGTAATTCAGTAAATAATTGTATTTCTTAACAATCATAATAACAGATCAACATCGCCATATTCTCCAGGGGGAAATCAATGAAACAAATAAGATTGTGTACAAATTGAAATTACTTTAATATTGACACTATGGAAAGTGAATTGCAAATAAGATCAATGATATAGGTGATTATTATTTTGCTGTAGGAGTCGGGCAACTAACAAGTTAATCAGCATGACGCAGCGGTACATTGAAGCAATGCAGTTTTCGAACTTGCATGCATATGACATTCTGCAAAAGCACCAGAGGGTAAGAAGTCTACATTTAAATTATATCCTTTGATGCAAGTTATCCGATTGGCATTTTTGGATATTGAGTATATCCAGAGGGAAGATGTGATATTTTAAGACATTGGAAATATGCTTTTTCTCTATTTATCTACTAACTGATATTCATAGGCTATCATGTCAAAATTAAAGCGGTATTTTTGTAATTACACAGAGTAGGAAAGTATTATATTTTGGAACATTTTCATTGCACTTTTGTATTAAGATTTTAAAGCATGAGATACAATGCCATATCTGTTGATCAACATATTTTTGCTACACTCAAAATGATGCTGATAGTAACAATGGCAAAGTTATTAATTCATCATTTATTCAAATTTTTAAATCTTATTATAATGATTCAACTTTTTAGACTATTGGAGAACATTTTAGCGAAATGCTACAATTTTATTTGTAGTCTATCTCAACCTAATTTTGAAATATGAATTTTTGCCTAAAGAAAATATTAATGATGAAAATACATGTACTATATGTTTCCGTATGCTTTTTATGTTTAAAAGATTGATTATGAAATAAAATAAGGCGTATCATTGTAGAAGTTTTACTGTATTTCTTTCTTTCAAATTCCAGAATCGGCCTTTGGGTGACTTGATGGTCAAACAGAAGTTTTTCCCTCAGGAACCTTCTCTGACTACAGAGACTGTTGATATAGACTTACCGAGGAAGCATCCTATTCCATATAGAACTAAATCAGCCATGGAAATATTAAAGGATGAAGAAAGAAAAGTGCACTCTGTTTATAAAAGAGCAAGGTAGGTGAAGGGAATATTAAAACTTTTTCTATATGAATGACACCTTGTAGAGCTGAAAGATAAAGAACATTTGATAAGGCTGAGACAATAAAGGAATGACATCTTAAGATATTTTAAAGAATATGTTTCGGTAAAATGTAAGCAACTTGACTCTTTCCCATGAGATCACTATATATGTGCACACATAATTAGGATCCTAAACCTTCATATGGAGTCCTTAGAATTATCCACCACATTTACTTGTTTTACAGAAGTGCTGTCTTGGGTCATTCCAAGAATAGAGTGAGATCAGGAAAGACATCAAGGACAAGAGACATGAGTTCTACTTTATCATCTACAGGTGAGTGGTCATAAACCACTTAATTAGGACTTTCTGTAAGTCAGTGGTCATACAAGATTTTGTTTTGGTCCTAAAGAGTTGATTATATTTATCTTAATTAAATTCTAAGTAATTGGTATTAAGTTTCTAAACCATTGTTCAAATAAGGTTATCACAACTACTTAGGTATAAACTGATAAGCCATCAAATCATGTTGAATTTATGATAAATACATGTACAGTACTTTGAATGTATGAAATGCTGATGAAGGATATACAGAATATATTCTCCTGGGGGAGATATAATATATCTGCTCAAGGGATCTGTATCCTGTACGTTCAGTGTACTTCTTTTTTTATTCTACCTGCTTGCTGGGGTGCCATCTGTTAAAATGTTAAAACCTGCATGATATAACCCAAACTTGTCCAGTCATGGGATAAATATTGATATCTGAAATAAGACAAAAATCATAAGAATTTACTTTGTCTCATGGTTCAATAAATTGACATAAGAATATCACACTAATATAAGTAAGGTAATTTAAATTGATAAAAGTGAGTAGTTTAGTAATTAATATCCAGCTTTTAGAGAGTGTAAAATGTTAGAAACATTCATTCTACATCTTGCAACTCTGCATTGGAATGAGAAGTGTGCAGTATGTGGATACTGCTTCATTACTAAATATTAAGGATATAATAGAATAATGAAAACCGAAATAAAACCTAGTTTGAAGCATCCTGAATATACTGCCTTTTATACTATAAAGGGAAATTTATTTGTACCAATTTGTATTTCATATCAAGCAATGATATTAGATATAATGCATTTGACGGATGCATAATACGTACAATCAATAATTCATTTTGATCTTGGATGTTTTTGTTCTGATAAGATTAATGGCTATAAAACTATTACAGGCCCTCAGAACAATTAACATTCCTGTTCACAATCCATATCAGTTTGTAATAGATTGTTGGCAAACATCAATATTTCCTCATTTAGAGAATGAATGATGTAAAAAAGATATCATACAAATACATTTATTGGCATAAAAAGCCATAGAAAAGCACCCATTGCCCGATCAATTTGAATCTCCTCTGGTAGGTAACCATGTCTGGACCTAATATTACAATTTGTGATTTCTTGTTTTGTGTTGTCTAGATGTTTCAATTTGTGATTTCTTGCATTGTGTTCTTCTGATGTTACAATTTGTGATATCTTGTTTTGTGTTGTCCTGATATTTTGATTTGTGATTTCTTGTTCTGTGTTCTTCTGATGTTATTGATTTCATGATTTGTGTTCCACTGATATTAGAATTTGCGAACTCTTGTTTTGTGGTGTCCTGATGTTATAATATTGTGATTTCTTCTTTTATTATGTCACCACCGAAAAGTGGTGACATATTGTTATGGTCTCCGTTTTTTGACGGCAATCGGCAGTTGGTGGTTGGCGTCTGTAACAAATTCTTAAAACTTCCAATAACTAACAAATACTGTTTAGACTGACTTCAGTTTTTTCAAAATCATCTACAAGTTTCCAGAAGTTCAAATCTGACTTTATGTTTAAGGTTTGACCTTCAGTGACCTTTTTTCAAGGTCAAAAAAGGTCAAAAAGGTATTTTTCAACTTGCTTCAAATTGACCAAATTTCTTTTTCGGAATCACCAACAAGTTATCAGAAGTTCCAATCTGACTTTAAATTTGAGATTTGACCTTCATTGACCTTCTCAAGGTCAAAAAAGGTCAAAAGGTATTTTTCAACTTGCTTCAAATTGACCAATATTTTTTCTAAATAAATCATCTATGTAAGTTCTCAGAAGTTCAAATCTGACTTTAGATTTGAGATTTCACCTTCAATGACCTTCTCAGGGTCCAAAAAAGTCAAATTAACCATTTTTTCAAAATCATCTACAAGTTCTCAATAATATTGTGAGCAACTAGGTTGTGACATTTTTTCAAAATCATCTACAAGTTCTCAATAATATTGTGAGCAACTAGGTTGTGACATTTTGTCATGTTAATTCCTTGTATTCTTCTGATGTTAAAATTTGTGATTTCTTGTTTTGTGTTCATCTGATGTTACAATTCGTGATTTTACAATTTGTGATTTCTTGTTTTGTGTTGTCTTGATGTTATAATGTGTGATTTCTTGTTTTATATTTTTATGATATTACAATTTGTGATTTATTGTTTTGTGGTTCTTTTGATGTAACAATTTTCGATTTCTTGTTGTGTTTTTCTGATGTTACAATTTGTGATTTCTTATTTTTAGTGCGTGTCAATGGAAGTGCAGGTAGTCTAAAGAAACCTAGGCCAGGAAGTGGGGTGAATTCCAGCTTTAATTATGCACATAACACACCAACAACTCCAAGACCTAGATCCCCTCAAAGTAAGTTGTGTATGGTATAAAGCAGAATACAGTATATTGTATAGAAATGGTTGTAATGTACCTAATTGACATTTGAAGAGTTTAACAATTATTTCTACATTTGTTGACTGTAAATTTCGAATTTACCTTGAAATACTATATTATGCAAATAGAATTATGACAAGAAATAATTCTTTTATTCATACTTCTGTTTTCCTATTGTAGAATCATCAATGAGCAGGTCTGACTCGATATCTGATTCAGTTGCAATTAGCAAATACAACATGGACCCTTCAATGTTAGAGTCAAGTCACAGCTATAATGCTACTCATCAAAAGATTCAGAACAGAAAGAATCCAGAATATCATGACTGGAGTGATGGCTTGTTTAAACGTGGTTCTAAAGACAGGGCAAAACAGAATGCGTCGCCAGCTACTCATTGGTTGATTTTTGGTGGTGGACAGACTGAGAGATCAAGGGGCATTGTGGATGCATTTGCAAGTGAGTCAACCTTGGTGTTATATTTATTGATCTGATGTTGGGTCATTTGAAGCTCTACATTTAGCCTGGAGGCTGGAATCCCCTTCCATGCTTCCTTCTTGAGTCTCAAGTGGAGTTGCAACTTGCAAGACAGAAAGAAAGATGTGATGAATATCAGAATATCGAATCCACATTAATCCTCAAAACATGTTCATTACTGACTTTTTTATATTCTACTTTTCATTTATTCATTTATGTTCAAAACACCTGTGTTAGTCAAACAAATGAAAACAAATAACAATTTCAATTATTTACATTACAGCTATGGACAAGGCAGATGACTTCTACACTATTGAGAGTGTAACAGGTAGTAAGGTGGCACAGCAGTTGAAGAGAGGAGACAGTATCAGGATAGGCAAGAATGGAAAGGTACAACAGACAGATCTCAAAGTCAGAAGGGAGGATTATAGCACTAAAAACAACAAGTAAGTTTAAGAACAAAGTGTGTTCAGGTTATCCAAGTTTGCTATTTAATTGTAACAAAAATATTATAATATTTGGACATCCAAATCACTTTTTAATGCAAGATATTCAGCCTTGATTTTGATAAGCTATTGCATTTTTCAGATTAATTTTTTATCAATATTTTATCCTTTGATTTCAATTAGACTGGGTAGTCAGTTTTTAATGAAGTCATTAGTCACTAATCCTGTATATTCCAGTGAGAAGCTTGAAGACCTGGTATATATGCCAGAGGAGATAGATGTGAGTGAATACATGTTTGTTGAGTCAGAGAAGGAGCCTGTTTCATGGGAGGACCAGGTATCACGGCCTGATGCTAAAGTACTTGAACCCACTACACCCAGGCCACCAGATAAAACACCAGTAAGTCGCAATGCTATTATATTTGGCAGTATTGCAAAGAGACTTAGGCAAGCCATCAAAAACACTTACTTGAGTAGATGCATATTTTACCCAGAACTAGGAAAGTTGAATTTTAAAAACTAGAAAATTTTGCTTTCAGAATCTGTGTGAAAACAACCCAGTAACATTTAGAAAGCTCCTTGATGATGAACCTCGTCCAAAAATTACGCAGAAAAAAACAAGCAAACGTTACAGAGTGATCCAAAGGCCTAAGAGTCGTAAAGGTCACGATAATATGGACAGAGTATCAGGAAGGATCACAGTATTAACCCTGAACTCTGGTGATGACAGTGGTGGAGAAAGTGATGCCGATAGTGAGGCTGCGTATGCAGAAATTCTCCGCAGTCAGACTGCTATGAGTCAAAGAATCTCAGAGCTCAGTAGGGCTAACACCCCTGCTGTGAATAAACCCTCCCCAACTAAAGTGCCAATGGTTGATGAAAAACAGACTGCATCAGTCAAGGTTGAGACAGTTCCTAACATTACCCCTCATGATAATAGCTGTACGATGTGTGACCATGAAGATCATAAGAGAGCCCCTAGCTCACCTACAGAACTCAGTCTTCAAAGACCACACACAGCCACAACATTCTTTAGACCTGATTCTGACCTTAAGGTTGTTCAACCAAAATCACGATCGATCAAAACTAGAACTGTTCGCTCTGCTGGAAGTAAACCCACTCCAGTTACAAATGGTAGACTTTTTTCTAGCCAATCTGGTCATAAACTGGACATAAAAACCCCAGCAAGTATAACAAAGGGAACAACTCCCCAAGGCAATTTAGGCTACATTAAATTCACTCAACATATAGTGGCACCCCCTGAGACAATTTTAGAGCGTCCTCAATCAGGGGTTTCCTCCAGGACACATGGAACCCACCAAAGTCTTCATGAGTCACTCCTGTCCAAGAAACAAGATATAAACTTCAACTCCAGATACAATGCAAGTACACCTGCCCCTGATAACACTCCCATGTTGGGCTCACCCATGTCCTCCAGACCTCTGACCCCCAACATGTACGCTAGATACACGGCAGATTATATTGGTGATAATGGAGGGCCACCTGGCTCAGGGGGTTCATACCAGGGGCCTGAAGGAGACAGGAACTCTAGTCTGTATGGGGAAGACCAAAATAGTGGGGGCAGTTCTCCAAGAGGCTCCATCGGAAATGCAGATGATTTTGATGATGACATTGAAGAGGATGGTTATATCAACAATGCCAACAATGATGATAACTATGATGATATCCACAATGATGCCAAAAATGATGATGATAATAATGATGCCAAGAAGGATAATCAGCGGAATGTTCATTTTGAAAATAGTGTTATCTTTAATGATGAGGATCCTGACAAAACAATCGATCAGTCAAATAAATCTGAAGATATTGATGCGATAATTAAAGTTGAAGTTAACAGTAATGATCAGGCAGGAGATGAAATTGAAAAATGAAAATTAATAAACCGAGCCTATAGAATGATTAGATTAGAGAAGACATTGAAATCGATCAAGTGCAATTAAGTTTGTTCTGATTTAGTTAAGCATATGGTTAGATTGTGATGAGCACATTAATAATAGTTTAAGATAGGCCACCCATTTATTGACTTTGTTTTTACAAACTTCATTGGAGCAGGCATTAAAGTGTGACCAATTTTGGAGCTTTGCTTTATACTTGGGTGATGTGGTCCATCGATAATTGAAACCACTTGCGACTTAGAGTGACAAAACGAATGCAGAAAAATGCATATGTGTTACGAGTATATTTCAATTGTTAACTACATATATTGTTCTATGTTGTGCATCATTTACCTCAAAATGTGATATTTTAATGCATCTTCCAATATAATTCCACTCTTATATAGTGGGAGAAATGTGATTTTTTTTATAATTTGTACAGTTTAATAGATAATCAATGGTGCTTTGGCTAATACTCATTTTCTTATTTAATACACACTGCTGCTGCATGTAGTTTATAATAAAGTAGTTTTGAAAGCTGCGATAACAGCATTTCATGGTGAAGATACATGTATTTTTAACATACATGTATAATGAATCTCATAGTGAGCCATTTGCATGTTTGCCTCATTAATTGAATGGTTCTTACATCACCTTAATATATGTATATACATCTGTACCTTGTGTTTTGTTATCATATGCAGAAATAATTGCCAATATGTCATAATAAAGATGACACTAAAAGTGCTTTGATTTGAAGTGTTGAAATTGGAATGCTAATTCTTAGGTTTAGGAGTCATCATTTATCATTGGATATCAATGACTTCAACTTTTTACCCTCAGTCAGAATCGAATTCCCAAACACACTTAGACCTAGAATATTTTAGAAAGCATTATAGTATGAAATATATTTTTCTATCAACCATGTTGTTTCAGAATACTTTAATATTTAATATACTAATGTACAAAGCAGCATAATGTATAGCTGGTCTATACAATGCAATGTAGATTTTAAATAAAAGCTCAGATTTACATAAATACATTTTATTGTTTAGTTGAAATTATGACATGTATGACATTCCAGAATACCAGGGATGTTTGATATTTGGTCGAAATCAATAAAATTGTCCTAGAGAAATGTGCTATTACTGATGGATAATTCTTTTGAGTTGGGTCCTCTTGTTCATAAAAGGCTAGTATACACAGGCCTGTAGTCAGCCAAAGGGGTTCACTTCCAAAAGATTTCCAGGGTGGTTCACATTTGACAATTTTTGAAAAACTGCATGATTTTGAAAGAATTTTTGGCCCCGAATTTTTGGGAAGGTTGGGAGTTCAAATTGACAGGAATGTGTTCAGCTTCAGCTCATACACAATGAGAATGTTTTAAAGAAACTTGACAGCTGAGTGTCCATCATGAAACAACTCTTCCATTGGCTTCCACCATGCACCGCCCTCACCACCACTACCACCTTCTGAGGGTGGTGGTCCTGTCCACTGAAGGGGCTCTTGACACGGTTCACACTCCTTCCACCATTTCCTGGTGATAGGGTCATCTCCAATGGCTGCCATGTCTGCATCAAAGTCAGCACCTGGAGATATGTACACTTAGAAATCACAAGGGGCAACATACAAAGAACATTAAAAGGGTCAGTGACCCAAACATACCCCTACATACACACCATTTTACATTTGTACGAAACGAAATTTATGTGTGTTATTTTACATTTTCCACAATAAAGAAATAGAACCATTTTGTATATTTCGATATGTGACTACTTATAAGCATGGTTCACTGTTTATTGACAACTTTGCGAGAAAGTGGCCATTTTGAAAAAATGTTGTTTTATGAAGTTTGCTGTTACTAAAATCTTAGTGAAGCAATTTTGTAAATAGGACAGCCAAGGCCATTTGATGCTGCTGTTGTCTAGTTAAATACACAATGTGAATTAAAACAATTCAATGGGCAGTATTAACTCATAAGAAACAATCAAAATATACCAATACCAGTACCTAATTAGAATATTGGATCACTAAAAGAGCACTTCAAGGTTGAAAAGGGTCACACAAAAGAACAATCAACATGCTATTCACAAAAAATGATAAATAAATGCATCAATACAGATTCTATTAAGTTTAACTTTCCTCTTGTTAATTTACCTATATATTCCATATGGTGAAACATGAACCCTGTAGTTTTGTCATAGTAAATTGTGAAGTTCCTAACATTGCTCTTTGTTAACCTATCCTGCACCTACAAAAAGGTAAAAAAATATTCAAATACATTTTTTTTAAGAATGAATCCTCATGTGTTATGTGCCCATAGTACAGGTTTTAAATCACACCCTCTTTATATCTTCCCTGTAACAAATAGAGGGGAGGGAAATATGAAATACACTATTTGATAATTATCAAAGGCCGATAAAAAAAGGAAAAAATGAGCATATGAGTGACCTTAATCCCTGCAATCAATATGTATAAAATAATGAAGTACAGAACAGCCTGTGTAAGTAGGACCCTGATACTTAAATAGTGTTCAACTTATGGAGGTGTTCCACTTAGAGAGGTGTTCCACGTCTACAAGTTTTACTACATTGAAATTTATATAATTCTGACACAGTAATGCCAGTAACACCTTTAGAAGTATAACACATAAAAACACATATAAACCCATTACAGTAAAACCTGAAGAGTGAAACACCTCCATATATGGAAAACTAGGCATCCAGATTTAGTAATGGTAAATAAGAATATTTTACCAGTATTCCATAGCCTATCATACCTCAGGCCATACTGCTGCATGGAGTTCCTTGTATTTGTCATACTGTTCTGGTCTCAGCTTTATAATGGCTCCCAGCCTCTTTGAAGGTGTTGTTCCTTCCCTAGACATGTTTACCTATAACCATGATAAATAGAATAAATAAAGTATATTAATTTAATGTCTACAAAAGGTGTAAATGATTTATGTAACTTAGCTACTTTCTGCTAGAAAGCATTTAATTTAAGGCAGGAGCTACTAAATTGATGTAAACATGTATTGTTATATTTGTAAAACTATGGGCCTGAGGCCTTTTATTTGTTTGAAATAAACTAAACTAAACTAAAACTAATTTGTGAAAACCAATTACCAAATTTTACCGAATTCAACATGTTAGTGAGATGTAATACAGTATCTGTTTCATCTATTTTTTACAACATCTTAGGCATTGTGTGACATCTACATTTGATAACATAACATAAATCCCACCGCTGCCACCAATGTAATCAATTGTTGCCCATTGTTCCCATCTTGACCAATGCCCCGATTATTCCAAAGCTCTTACAGGAGTCTCTAATATGTACCATAAAATTATAGTTCCAATCTCACTGGCGGATAAGGGGGGGGGGGGGGCCTGGGGAAAAAATAAATTTTGGGCCAAAAATGCCTTGAAGCCCCAAAAAGTGGGCCTTTTTGGTCATAACTGGGCCTTTGAAGGCCTTATTTTTTAATTTCAGGCCAAATTTGGTCCCCCCCTTGTTGGTTCCCAGATCCGCCCCTGAATCTCATTCCGGTCAGAATGGGATTGTGACTAGATAACCACACATCTACTATACTCACCTTTACAGGAATCACTTTGCAATGTGTGTATATGTGTATAAGGCTAAGTACAGTTGAATTGATGTACTCTAATCTATATCTATGTTCAATGTGTTATACCAGATTTTCTTTATTCGTTTACAGCCCTTATCTTCTGATGACTTCAATTGTATACACTCGTTACTGTTGACATCAACAGCTATTAAAGTGGTAATTCTGATATTCCGTTACTTGACTAAACAATAGCTGAGGTTGGCCTACATGTACTATGTATTGATCAGAAAGCAAAACTTCTACCCTCACTGCTGTTAAATTATAGGCCAGTGAGTTTTGTATTGAATGTGCCACTGACTATGAATTGATTGATATCAAGATATAGTGCATGATCCAAGTGAGCTCACTTACACCTGTTGCAAATTCCACTGAGCATGATGACATCTATCTGTTCATTCTGTTTTAGTTTGTCTAATGTGAATTGTAATATTCAGGTTATTGTATTTCATTTTGATTCATAACACGAAACAAGAGGGGAATAACCCAGAATTGATAGAGTATCTAGAAGTTATTCTTTACATATAGATAGGTTTATCTATGAATCCTGGGATATTTCCTCCTCTTAAACGAAACAGGAATAGTCTGCAACAACGATAATTCACATTAGTTTTGTAAAATCATAATTTTCTTCTTTATCCAGTTTACGTGTTTGTGTACTTAACGAGGCGTAGACTCAGTAAAATTACGATTTCTCTGCAACCTGATGTCCAATCTGGATCATTCAAGTATCTATGTGTTCCTGACACGTTTGGGCGACCCATCCTTCTTTCCAACTTTGAAACGAACCTTACCTTAATGGATTTGTGTCTTGGGAACATTTTTGTAAATACTTTTTATGAACACTACTGATTCTGAAAGAATATCACATATTTTTTGTCTTCCCAACTTCAGTCATGAATTACGTCAATTTCGCTTGCAAACTTGCTCTATTAAATATTCAGTTCATGAAAATCTAATTGAAGCGACGGTTATGTCCGCCGGCATTTGTGACATCTGACTTTACCGTTGTCAGGCTATTCCGGTGTGATTGTGACACGTTTCCTGAATTTCATCTTCCCAACACAACTCAAGGTAATTAGTGTGTTGCAATCATTTCAATCCGTACGGGACATCTTTCAGTCTCTATCATATGAAAGTATGATTTAATCAGTTCTATTTTAAACTGAAGTTGCAACTTGAAGCTCTCTGATTGCCCCTCGTCCACATGCTTATTCAACACAGGGTGTGTACCAAATTAGTTTACGCGCTGGGTAACACCGTGTGTAAGGTACAACACGAGGGTGATGAAGGGATAGGTTATGGTGAATTGAATTCAACAATGTTTTTCTCTTAAACCAATTATTGAAAACATTCTGTAAAAAACAAAATCCTTTATGTAATGTTGACTGATTGACAACAATTTAATGCGAAAATTATTTATATATATTTTATATAACTTTCCGAACCTTGTTGGAACAAAATAGCATATACACATTAAACAACATTTTCTTAGACCTCTTAATATCATAGTAATACAAAGGAATTTTGGTTGATTTAAAAAAGGTATGCAAAAAATTAAAACAAAAGAACCCAAAATAGATAAAAATTAAGATAAACCTTTTATTTCATTAACAAGCTATTTTTTAAAAATCCACCAAACTTTCCTTTTTCGTTTTGTTCCAGTGAGGTTCGGATAGATGTTTTATTTCGTTCCGAATATATGATACCAAGAAGAAAAGAAGTGTCTGATGTGTTTTCTAAAACAATATAGAGAAAAGTATATATATATATTTCAAATTATAATGATACCATCCAAAAGACGACCATGAAATTGACGATGTGTAAAATTTTCAGAAAATTTTGATGACTGGTTTAAGAGAAACATTTTTTCAAAAAGTTCACCATATCGATACCACTCCTTTGAGCAATCTGATGTTTTCATAGTTTGAGAAAGATCTGATCTAGTTTCTAGATATTTTTATTTGTAAATGTCTAAAACAACCGATCCTAGACATTGAATTTGACCGTGAATTTTAACGTTTGTGTTCAACGTTCACGTCTTACTTATTTGAAACGTTAATTTAGTAATATCCTATACACTTTATAAATATTTTGTAGCGCTATGTCCATCATGAAACAGTTCTTCCATTGGAGATATCCATGACGGACCACCTTCCCAAGGTGGGGGGCCTCCAGTTGGTTCCAATGGCGCAAGGCAGGTGGCACCACATGCGACCCACCATTCTTTAAACTTAGGATCTTTGCTCATTATGGCCATATCATTATCAAAATCATCTCCTGGAGGAACAAGAATGAAAAAACAATATGAACCATAAACATGAACAAATTATTAGTATAATTTCATAATATCATCACCAAAAAGTGGTGACATATTGTTATGGTCTCCGTTTTGTTTGACGGCCCGGTTGGCGGTTGGCGATCGGCGTCTGTAACAAATTCTCACAACTTCCAATAACTTTAACACAAATACTGTTTAGACTGACTTCAATTTTTTTCAAAATCATTACAACAAGTTATCAGAAGTTCAAATCTGACTTTAGATTTGAGATTTCACCTTCAATGACCTTCTCAGGGTCAAAATAGGTATTTTTCATCTTGCTTCAAATTGACCAATTTATTTTTGATTGAACTCATAATACTGTGAGCAACAAGGTGGTGACATTTTGTCATGTTAATGCCTTGTCATCTTAATACTGTTGCAATGAACACCACTTGATAAATTAAATGATTACGAGGAATGTTATTAGTAACTGCTATTTATACTTTTTAAGACAAAAATATCACAGCATAATTTTTTTTATAATGGATTCTTCTTTAAATGGAATAGAATTAGTATAATGCATTGTAACAACTTATATAATTACCAATGTATTCCATAGTAAAAAACAAAAGATGTGTCTTGTTGCAGTAGTAGATCGAGTAATTCCTTATATTAACTTTTGTCAGTAAGTTTAGTATCTAAAATACAAAAAAAAATATATGGAGAGGGTTATTCTCACACTTTTCGTGGACGGTGTTTGGCGGTTGGTGTTCAGCGTTCGGAGGTTGGCGTCTGTAACAAATGACAGGTGGTAACATTTTGGATGTTAATGCCTTGTATTCGCACTTGTTTAAACTTTATTTCAAATGAAAGCTGAGAGATGTTTTTTCTGTTGATTCATTGGCAAAAGTACAATTCATTGCTGGCAAAAAAGCATTCCGAGTTTGCAGATGATCCATGCAATCAAAATGAATATAAATACGCAACCCAGAGAAATCGCTATATCTTGGAAAATACCAATCCAATTGTTTTAATTTTTTCAGGAAAGAAAGAAGACAAGAAGAGACTGTGTATGTATAACTCCTTTGTTAGTTATTTGTAAAACATGATGTCTTGGACATCTGCTCAAAAGACATTAGTATTAGAAAAATACGAAAAACGCGAATGGAAAATCGCTATATCTTGGAAAATACTAATTCAATTATGTTCATTTTTTCAGGAAAGAAAGAAGAGACTGTTTATGTATAGCTCCTGTTGTTAGTTAGTTGTAAAACATGATGCCTTGGACACCTGCTCAAAAGACAGTTGTTAGAGGAAAATACGAAAAACGCAGTCAGAGGTGACTACCACAGCAATAAAACCAATTCAATATACCTCAAATCTATTCTAGATTCTCATTGGCTTATTCATGGTCACATAACATGGAATAGATGAACTAATTCCCTGGAAAGTCCTAAATCCCTGCTTTCAGGGAAGATGAATTGTACTAATCACCAGTTAGGTCATGTGACCAGTCAATAGTACATTTTATCTTCCCCCAAATCTGAGATTATAGGAGTTGAAAGGTAAAATGCCTTTAAATGCCAATAAGAACCTGTGAACATTTGATATTGAAATGAAAAGACTTCTCATTTTGTTTTTGTTTACAGAGTACTTATCAGGTATATAATAAAACAAATAGTGACTGCCACGTTTTCGGGAAATAGTGTAAAAATTTTCCTCTCGGGAATATCCTGTCCACTGACTTGTTCCCTCGGCCTGCAGCCTCGGGAACATGTCAGTGGACAGGATATTCCCTTGAGGAAAATATTTTGCACTATTTCCCTCAATGGCAGTCACTATTTGTACAATAACTTTCTAACCAGAGTGTTTTAGCACTTCAGATTTGGCACAAATTATCCTCATTCAATGTGTAGGAAACGTAATTTCACTTCAATTCCAATACCTCCAAATTTTCTCAATTTTTTTCCTCAATTACAGTAGGTCGAAAATTGATGATGAATTTGATGAATTTTTGAAAATCGACATTCCCATGTTAACCAATGGGAAATGGTAGGTTTGCCGCAAGTCATATGACAGAATATCCATCCATCCGAGTCCTTGCAAAAAATACGAGTTAGGCAGGTAATTGAATTTGCTAACTTTATTTAACAAAAAATTGATATGTTTCTTCAGGTTCAACAAAGTTATAGGGCTTTAAAGTCAAAATTGTTTTTCAAAAAACCTCTCCCATTGAAATAACACAGGAGGCGAAAAACTATTTTCAAAAATGACTTTGAAGCGCTGTAACTTTAATATTCATCAAATAAACTAAACACTTAGTGTTCAAAAAAGTTAGATAATTCAATTTTCTATATGAAAATATTTTTTGCTGAATCTTTTACTGAAAAGATATCCTGATTTCTGATTTGCCAGGAACCCTCCATTTCCCATTGGATTACATGGGAATGACGATTTTCAAAAATTCATCAAATTTATCATCAATTTTCGACCTATTGTAATTAAGGAAAAAAATTGAGAAAATTTGGAGGTATTGGAAATAAAGTCAAGTTACGTTTCCATCAATATTATAAGTTATTTCAACGCCGGTTAAGTAAATAAAAATTCAAACGTAAAGAGGCTTTAACACGTAGTTCAATGGAGAAAAAGGGTTGCCAAACTTATGGAGGGGAGTGTAAGTCTGCATGAACAAGGGCATTTGACTGCGATTTGAAAGCATTTCGACCATGACTGTAAAGTTCCTGAAGTGATTTTGATTTCACTCTACAGGTTTACAATTACATTGAATGAAGATGATTTGTGCCTTTGAAGAGCCAAAACACTATGGTTAGGAAGTTATTTAGTTTTTTGCGGTTGCAGTCACCCATGGCTGCATTTTTTGTATTTTCCTAGAACAATTGTCTTTTGAGGAGGTGTCCAAGGGATCATGTTTTACAACTAACCATATACAGGAGCCATACAAACACAGTCTCTTCTTTCTTTCCTGAAAAAATGAACATAATTGAACCAGTATTTTTCAAGATATAGTGATTTCTTTGGGTTGCGTTTTTAACACCATGTTGGATGCACTCATTCTGTAGCATGAGATTGAAAAATATTTTTTCTCACCCTGTAGTGAGTCCAAAGAAATTTGGTCGACCCCTACGATGAAGATTCTAGGTCCATACTCACAAGAATAAAAAATGTTCACCACCCTGTAAGGTTCAAGTCAGTGGCTCTTCAGCATTTTAACAAAAAATTGTTTTTGGCTCATTTTCCCAAAATGCCACTTCTTCAACTTTTGGAAAAAGCATAGATTTCTCGGGCCCAGATTTATGACTAGTTTTCTAGATCAGAAATGAATCTTGCGTTTAATTTAGAAAGGCTACAGTTTTACCTCTGGCCAAACATTTGCATGCATCTCCTTGTACACAGCATAATGTTCTGGTTTTAGTCGGCACACTTGACCAATTCTCTTTGAACCCATGGTTTTCAACTCTGGAGACGATGTAAACGTTAAAAATGTTTTATAGCAACCTCACCTCGTGAGAATGTATAGATAACAGTGTGCGACCTGAATGTGTAATCATAATATCAAGTTGTGCCTGTCAACAAATACAGTAAAACCATACAAATTAAATATAGTGTCACTGATCACACGTTTGGATGTTCAGTGGGTTGTAAACATTGTTTAGCATTTAGGCCTAAGCTTACACATGCACACTTTCGTCCTCATACAGTCATTGTTTTTTGTTAACAGAATATTTTTGGTGGATTGCCTGTAGGGAACATGGGGCAAAGCGGCCCAAAAAATTTAATTTTAAGTTGTTCTGTACGGGGTATTTTCGTATCTGTCAATCATCGCGCACTTTGATGTTCCACTTTATTAATGGTTTGTGGTTTACATTTTTCGAGTGTTTTATACTTTCCTAGGACTATCTTCTGTGATTTTTCAATGGTCAAAAATATTGTCGAAAGTGGGGCAAAACGGCCCATGGGTGGGGCAAAACGGCCCACCCTCTGTTACATGGGTTTTGAAACCAAAATTAATCAATTACAAGACTCGTCCACAAACATCTTATCTCAGACGTTCAAACCTTTGACAGATAAAGTATTCTTAACCCCTACCATAATTCTAGTCATTCGATATGTGTCGGAAGGAAATAAGGCACAAGCCAGATGTTAAAATTGTTACATTTGAAAACCAATTGTTCTTGCACAATAAGATTTTTGTATGTTATAACATGTGTGGGCCGTTTTGCCCCAAAGACATGTGAATTTTCAAATAGACGTCATTTTAATTTGCCTAATATTTGAAGCTCGAAATTTTTACAAATAAAGAATAAATGTGCACACTCTATGTAAAATGTTAAATCAAAACGATATTCTATTGTTGCCGGATTTTTTAGAGATTCTCGTGAGAGGGGTAATTTCCAAAAAAGAGGGTGAAAAGTAGAATTACCTCTTACGTAAAGCGAGACGCTGCTTGGTTAAAAATGGACGGTCGAGAAGGTGGCAGATATTTCAACATTCGATTTTGTCACAGTCAGAGAGAATGTTTCTGGCGAAATTCTGGGACGTTCAAATAAATATAGTTCCAGAGTAGTTCGAAGAACTGCGTATTAGATGTCCGTGGATTTTGTGACTTTTGAAGAACCATCTTTTTATAGTTCAAAAGATATTTCGATGGGCCACTTTGCCCCAGAGGGCCGTTTTGCCCCATGTTCCCGGCCTACCGTTTCACTGGCTATTTTATGGATGTGCGATGTTTAGTAATTGGACTATATGCCCTCATTCATGGGAGCTCAAACAACTTGTGTTTTGTTGTTTCCTGTTCAGTTGTAATGACCAGAGTTTCTCGCGAATAGGCCCACGGGCGTTTATTTGAAAGAGAGTTGTGTAAAAAAGTGTTTTCTCTTCCCTCTTTTTAAAGGCCCATGTGCGTTCTTTTCGAGGGCTTCTAAATAAACGCCCATGGGCGCACCATAGATGTTGGCCAAATCGTTTTTCAGTATGATCTCATAGGCTCAATAGCCTAGTCACTGAACCTACTACAAAAGAATCTGGCCGGGATCTATGGGGCGCACAGTAGCCTAACGAAATAAACGCCCACTTCTCTTATATGCGCCCATCCTCCTTGGAAAAACAATTTTTCCCTCTTTATTGAGGCCCATGGGAGGTCATTTCGATTACTTTCAAGTGCAAAATCAGAGTTAATGACGTCGCAGTCGCCGGAATTATTCTTTGATCCTACTACAAAAGAATCTGGCCGGGATCTATGCTCTTTTGTAAAAACCATGTGATATATCTTCGCGAGATGCATGATGGGATGTGTAGTAATAAATATGGCGAAGATTTTTTATTTGCAGAAAACTCGTGTTCGGTGATATTTGCTAAATAGGAGTGAAATTAGTAAGCTATAATGGTCAAATCGAATGGTAAGTATTTGTTTATGTTTTAGGCCTGATAAAGGCTACATCTAAGATAGTTTTAGATACCTGTAAACAGTGACAGTCCATTTCATTCTCAATGTTCAGTTTGGAACATAAATAGACTCTAGATCTAAATGACAGGTGGATTTGTAACCAAACCCGTCTGGCCCAGTTATCTACTCCTGACATCGTAGATCTGGGCCAGACGAGCTCCAATGCTAAAAAAGGGGTATTTACTCCGGAAAAAACACACTGTCTTTTCAATGTATAATACATGCTAATAAATGAATAAACATCATAAAAAACACTTACGAGTTTGTTCCTTGTATCAAACTTTGTATTTATATTATGTTTCCATTGCTGGATGATGGCTAATAAATAAGAACGAAACGATTAAACGCAGCAAAAGGAAAAATTCTTCTGCAATCTGTTCGTGATCTCGTAGAATATTGAGAAATCTCGGCTGAATATTTCGTTCAGTACTACATTCGGTCAGTTCAACAAATTGAAAAATTGTATTTAATGTCCACCATATTTCTTTCAAGTCTCAATACAACACAGATACGTCTGTTTTATAAAGTTATCTACATTTTGATAACAAATCTGCTGAAGAAATCGTAATATTTGGAATGTATTGATTCCCGGGAAATGTATTTTCGTTCCATGAAAGTTAAAAATTATCGCGTCACATTTGTGTTACATCACATCATGTGACTTTATTGGGTGCGGAGAACTGACAAAAATATTGACGAAATGTTGTGCCCATTTCAACATCAATATAACAAACAAAACACCACTTTTACATGTAAGTTATACACTCTTTATTTCAAATAAATACTTGGGTTTACATGGAGCGCGATGTTTTGGTTGGATGGCTAATAGGGAATGAATAATAAGTGATGATTCAGCAACATGTTTTTTCCGGAGCAAATCCCCCTTTTTTGGATTGGACCTCGTCTTGCCCTAGATCTACGACATTTCAGAATCGGGGAGTAGATAACTGGGCCAGACGAGTTTGGTTAGTGGATTTGCTGAAGTGAGGATTTCCCAAATTCCCATGTTAAAATAAAATAAAAAAATAAATAAAATAAATAGAAAATTGGGTAATCTTGACACTTAGATCTATCTGTTAGAAATTCTGTTCTCATTTTGATTGAAATAGAATTTTTGTGAGATCTCCAACTATGTAAGAAAACAGCTTCACCGACTCAGATGAGTTAACCCAATGAAACTTGACAAAGGTCCCTTAGGGATGGTGTCAAATATTATCATGTCCACCACCAGAGGCCTTATTCACAAAGCATCGCAATTTGAATGCGATTGCTATTGCTATGCGATTGCGACATCGCAATTTTGGCGCGGTATTCACAATGACAAGATATCGCAATCGCGTAGCAATAGCAATCGCATTTAGGATAGCAGTGTGTTAGCAGCTTTACTGTAACAAATAAAGCAAACATAGGCTGGTTGAAATGGTACGACTGTCCGTGGAGTTAATAATAAAAACAAAGATTAAATAAAATAAAATTGTTGTGTTTAAATGATTTAATAGACCCAACATCCATTTATTTGAGTAGTTTATTCGATTCTATCCCAAGATATATTTCTAAATTCTATTTTGATGGGTATGGGAGGGGACCCGCTCAACCCTCTCAAAATTATATCTTCTAGGAACTTAGTTTATGTTAGCTGTTTTCCAATAATCGTTCCATCAATCCCCTTCGTTGCCTCAAATCGTTCACTCCTCCGTATTTTTACAATTTACTCTTTATCTATTAATGGAATTAAAGTTCATGTCCATTCCCTCATATAACGAAGATACCTCTCGATCATCTCATGATCATCGTAAATATCCAATGGATGTGTTCTGTCGCGAAATAATCTCGGTCTTACTACTACTGTCTGCGGTTCACCGCTATCATCGCCATTTTGTTTTACAGTGTCTCAGACGACTGATAATGGCGGGAATTATAACATTGCGAATCATTGATAGCAATTTTAGATAACATATAGAAAATATTCTTCCATTATTTAAGACGACTTTAGACTCTTAGTATCTCGTCAGAACACATGAAATGACGATTTTTCACATGTTGGTTAGTATACCGAAAAACGTTGTATTAAAATAGCAAATAATTCTGAGAACGCTAAACGCATTTAATTAAAACATAAAGCAACCTTTAATATTGCGACTGTATTGCGGCTGGTAGAGGGTAGTCGCAATTATATGACGCTATTGATGCGATTAAATTGCTAAGTCGCAATCGCACTTTGATTGTGAATAAGAATTTTAGCGATTTTTGCGATGGCGATTGCGATGTCGCAATCGCATAGGATGCGACACATTGTGAATAAGGCCTCTGGTGACTAATTCGGGTCAGAGAGCATGGATATCAAACTTATTAGATCATTTTTAAACCATATTTCTAGATGTATTTTTACATGTAGATTTCAAAATGAATGTGATATCACTTTGACTGAATTTTGAAAACTTATGACGGAAATCAAGATTATTTCTACTAATCCTTTGGACACCATCCCTTATTGATCCATGAAATATCTGAATGCTTACCACCAGTCAAGGATTGCATCCAGGCAGGGTTAGGTTGGTCAGACTATTACCACTAACAGTAACTTGTACGATCACATTAACTCTTACCATTTTTTTCCGCATATTGTTTACTTTGAACACAGGAAGTTTGGCATACCTATTTGACTTTGCTACAAATCTATAATCGTGAAAAGACAAAATAGTTCTGTCCCATTCAAATCATTTGGTATGTCTTTTGGGCGAAAATGCTCTGTAAAACCAATCATGATAACAGCCTGATAGTATGTGTTGGACACAAGTCAATTCACCAGCGCCACCTATATGCTCATTCTCATCATCAGAATCACTCCAGGGTCAAAATCCTGCACATCTAATAAAAGTAATCCAGATCACAGCCTCCCTGAATATCACTTTCTTTAAATCTAATAAATTCATTGTCACAATTTTAAATCAAAGTTTTTTACTCAACATAATCTGCAAATTAATATATTCTATTTACTTACAAAACAATGTATCTCCCTTGTTATGATATTGAGTGACTAATGCATGCTGGGCCCATTGAGATCAGTGTGATACTTATATTACCATCTCTGCTTTGAACCAATGGACAGAATTATCAGGTAAAATCACTTCAAAACTTTTTACCTTTGATAGCAAAACTTTTGTTTTATTTGTTCATTCTATTTATCAGATAGAGTCTCAGGGGTTTATAGGCAAATCCATTTTGGTAGGAGCATTCTGTTTAGTCTGAAAACCCACCCTTTATTATTTACTGTCAGCACTATAGTAAATATGCTCATTCATGTTTGTATATCAGATACAAGTCTTTCTGAAAAATACCTTTATTTAACTTTGAGGCATTCTTTTACATCAATTTCTTTTTAATGTAAAAAGCTTTTCATATTTGAAATCATGATTGTCAGGTACATGTATTGGTGTTCATAGCAGGGCTATATAGTCGGTAACAAATGCACGTGGTGACATTTTGCATGTGAATGCCTTGTTTGATTGGTTGTTACACCTTCTAAACTTTTCATTTAACATAAAATGGAAGTACCTGTACCTTTAATTTCAAGAACATGATTGTGAATTTTGAAGTTTGAACTTTTAATTTTCAGGCCAGATTAAGGAGGGGACGGGAGTGGGAATCCCAACTATGGATCCCAGTAAGACATATGTCAACCCTGGGGTGGAAGGACAGATGGTATGTATTTTCAACATATTAGTAAAAAAAATAAAGAAATAGCTGTACATGTATAAGATAACAATATAATATGCAATATCTCCATGCTCATCTTCAATTTCTATTTTATATAACCACTATTGTTGTGTCTATCTCAATATCTTGTTTTATTGTCATATCCAGGCCTGATGCACCAAAAGTAGTAAACAATAGACTAATATACTGTAGTTAAGAATGACAACAATGTTCTTATCTCCTGTGTTGAAGAGCCTTCATTTCGCTTACAGATTTTTCAATCATGAAATTTATTATCGTAACACTCCTGGAAGCTGAGACTCGATTACTTGATATGAAACAAGAAGCAAGTTCTCATGTACCAGTATGTAACATGGGATAATATGTTTTTATGTATTTGGTTTTAACTTGATATTAGTATATTGTCCTGACAATACTCAAAAACATGTTTTTAAGGTTGGGAGAAATTTGTATTGATTCGACAGACTTTGTCGTACTTGACACGATGCATTGTGGGAGATATTTTTGTTAATGACCAAGTTTTCATCTATCACATATTAGTTTATTGAACATTCAATGAATGTTTATTTTTGAGTACATGTAGTTCATGTTTGTACTGTACTGCACTGCACTGCACTGCACTGCACTGCACTGTACTGTACTGTACTGCACTGCACTGCACTGCACTGCACTATATCTCTTATGTCATATCCTCATTGTTTTGGGCCTCTGACATCTTAAACGTTTTGTTGTTGTTATAGGTAGACCCCTCCCCTATTTCTAGTTACACAATATATGCATTTATCCCAGTTCCATATGTAATAATCATATTTTTTTTTATTCATTTTAGGAAATCTATGGCTACAGACTGAACAAGATAAAACGTGCTGTGACATGGGTGTTCATCATACTGACTGTGGGATTTTTGCGACTTATATTCTATTGGAAGCCTGACTGGTACATCAAGTGTACACGTGACCCAGTCAGCCTCGCTCAAGCAGAAACAGTCTTGCTATTGGTATACATACTTTTGTTTTATTTTTTATTTCTTTTCATTTCTTCATTCTTCAAATTCTATAAGGAAAAACTGAAAGTTCGAAAAAGGATTCTCTTAAATATATCTTACTAAAACTGGGGAATTGAAACTAAATATTATGTACATTCCCCTCAAAGCCACTAGAATTCCAGGTAGATAGAGTCCAAATCAATGCATAAAACATTTGCAACTAGATAGAGTTGTACTTCATGTAAACTATTTACAATGTATAATGCTTCATAATTTCCTCCTCTGTAATTCATCTAGTTCATGGGCAATGTTGATCAATAAGTTTAACCACGTAATAACATTCTCATGAAACATAATGGCAGCCGTCACCATAGAAATTGTTTTTGATACAGATGAAATAATGGATAATAGAGAAGTCCCAAATTTTCTATAAAGCTTGATAAATCAGATAAATATCTGTATTTTTAGATATCTCAAAAATCGACATATTTTAAATTGGGAGATCTATTTTCTTGTTTATATATGACCAGAATGCAAATAAACCATCAAACCTTAAAAAATTTCATTCAAATTCATTGAAATTTGTAGGACCAATACAAGAGATGGTTAGTGTCGCAAGTTAGACTGACCACGCAAGATGGAGAGCCTTTTGACCCTAGGCACCACACTTTAACAAGTAGTCACTACTCCCAGACTAGGGACACTCCAGCAGCCTCTAATAGTCAACTCGGAGTAAGTAGCTAGTAATGGGTAGACAGATAATTAGCTTAAGTTGTTACCCCAATAACGTGTTCTTAATGTCATTATGCTTTATTATCCCACTGAATGGAGTTGGTAGAAGCTGTTTATTCATTTGATTGTCCATCCTGCTGTTTGTTTGTCCAGGCGATAACTCAAAAACTGGCTGACTGATTTGGGTGATAATAATGAGAAAGAACGTCACCAGCAAAATAGATATTCATAAAAAGTCATCATGAAAATACATTCATAATGTTGATCTTTTCAAAAGATGAATGTCTAAAAACAAGTTAGAAGTTTCATTAATAAATCATTTAAAAAGTTGAGCTTGCCTAACCTACCTTGATCCTGGTGTGTAAATCGGCAAATCTAATTGGTTATTGTGGCTATCGAAGATTCGTGGTGTTTCCAGTTCCATTTGATTGGTTCGGAAATATGCCAAGATTGAACTGGATACCTTTATTGTGCGCAAAGAACAGTTTTACTAGATAATTAAAGCACCTTTTTGCTGATTTTACTCATCGTTTAGTGATCTCGAAACATTTTACAGCATACTTTTATACACATAATTATGTTTTAACAGTAATGTAGGTACTTCAAGATTTTTTTAGAAAATTTTTGATTGATAATAAATTCATGAATGCTTACACACATAGATTTGTAAATGTGCAAAATATGAAAAATCAACATCTCTAAATCAAACAGAATGTGAGGTGTAAAAAATTAGACAGAACTCTGAGTCAACAGAGTTGTGTCCCTGGGACTTATTTTACCCTAACACTTGCAGACAGTATTTTTTAACTCATTCTCTTCTTTCTTTAGCCCTCAGATGTAGTTTCATTTTCATTGAATTTGCTTTAGGTTGTAAAGATTGCAAAATACACGGTAGTGCCTTTTGTTTATTTTAGTATGGTTGGGTTATCATTATTTTGAATTCAAACGAGCGCATTCACAAACTTTGCACTTTAATTACAGATTAATACTATTTTTGTTGTTGTTTCACCCATCTCAATATTACACAAAATAAAATGTGTTTTAACTGGAATGTTTGTGTAATCTACTTCTAGAAATGGTGTACTTTAAAAATTTCATGGGCCATTCTATTTTTTGGGGTCACCATGTAATTGTGTACTCTATACTCTATAGTTACCATTGCTTTAACAAAATAAAACCTCTTTCTCCTATCTCATGGTTATATTTTTGGGGTTATGGGGGGGGGGGGGGGTGGTTGCGATCCCCCTGGCTACGCCTATGAGATGCTACTTTCCTAGATACCTTAAAATCGTGGTTCCAAATAGTTCCTTGCATCCATCACTAAAAGAAGCAATGTATCCTTAGTAATGCCTGGGTCACTTGTTGAACCAGGAATCTGAGCAAATGTGACCTAGGCATTAAAGATAAGAACTCCTTGGCATGAGTTTATTCATGTTGTTCAATTATTTTATGGAGATTAGATGCAGCACTCCATTGTCTTGTATATTATCTATTCTATTTTTGGTGTATAACAGTGGAGGTTTAAATCAATGCTGAAATTCTATACTGTTTATGCTCTTCTGTTCTATTTGAATCGCTAAGGGCAACTTTTTGCTTTTGCATATTTACGAAGTAAGCATGAATAAGATAAGAATTAGATATTTAGGTACAGACTTTAAATTATTCAAAAACTGATTCTACTTGACCTACCTTAATTTAGTTAATGTCAGTAAAACCATATACTGTACATATATATTAACATACATTTTATGACAAAAACTATCAAATTACAACTAAAAGGCAAAATATGGACAAAATGAATTTTAAAGTAACTTTATACTGTGACAGGAAAGATTAGTGCCTTCTATTAATTCTTTGAATCTCATTTAATACACAATCATCAAATCAAGATTAATCATGGTCTCTCATCAATTGAAATGTGAATTCCAGGTATGCAACATATGGTTGGTGGAAAGTCCTGTAACTTACATTGATATAAAAATGAAATAAAGATACATATTGGTATAGTATTTTTTACAGTATATTGATTATTTATTCACTCAATGTCAAACAGATTGGGTAAATAATATGCCTCCTGTGAGATTTTGTCTGTTTATTTCAGGAGGAAAGTTGTCTCAGATATTTTGTGAGTAAAAAAGTGAAATATTTATGGGTGAAAAACAAGGCAGCCTTTGAAAGACAACAGTAAGTGAAATTCCTTATCTTATAAAGTATATAAATCAAGAAAATTGTATTTTTAATTTTGAGAGGTTGTTTCCCATATTTTCCTAATAATGAGAAAAGTTCTTGGACATTTTTCAATGTCCGCTCACTTTCATAGTTTTTGTTGTTTACATTTTAGGGGCCTTGAGAGCAACCATCCATGTTCATACTTCCATGAGGCAAAGGGTTTATCACAGAAAGATAAAGAGAGGAGGTACAATTAAGTCTTTAATAAGTTGCCTATTGCACTTTCTCATTTTGAAAGTATTGATCTTATAAGTAAATACTGTTACCCCTAATATATTATAATAATGTTGCGTCCTTTTATAATTAATTGTCATAGTGGAATATTAAATTTTATATTACACATGGAATTTGTCTATGTCTTAAAAAGTTGGTGTCAGAAAGTATTGTACTACTTACTAGTTATAATAAATAGCTCAAAAATAGGCATTCGTCCTTTTAGGGATAGAAAAATGTTTTTGTCATTCTAGGTACATGTCCTATATACAAATGATTTTAGGCAAATGAGTCATTATTACTGTACAGTTTGTTTATATTTCAGGAGAGTTAGCTATGGTTTTAATTCCATACGTGTACATGTTAAACCTATACTGGTACTTCTAATAACAGAGGTAAGGACACATATTTCATTATAATATTCAGTACACTGTATTTACAAAACTGATACATTGAGTGCTGTATATCCTATGAATTATAAGTGATATGATTTTTATCCATGAATGGGTATGATAACTGCGCTTGGCTTGCTGGCCCGTGCAGATATCAATATCCATGATGTTTTTTGTTCCATAGCCCGACTTTTTGTTGACCATTGTATATTCAGTTCCTCCCAGTAAATAATCTCTATTTATCCAATAGATACACCAATTTTATAGTAACCAGTATTGATAATATTTATATGAGGGTAACATTTCATACATATTAGTTTCATTAGTTCATGCGTCATTGTGTTAAGTACATGTATCTTGATAGAGATATAGACTTAAAAAAAATACATTTGTTATAAAGATACCTGTGAAAGTAGAAGCCACGCTGTGTATAATGAATAGATGATATAGATAATAAAAATAAAATGATATATCATGTTGGATTTCATTTTTTTTTCATTTCTCATTTATTCCATATATAATATATAAAAATACAATACAATATTATTGCCTACGTTTTTCAACATTGTCGGCAATATACAAAACATATAAAAATGGAAATACTGGAAATACAATAGATTTGGTCCGCAATATGGATGATGAAAAATGTTAGAGGCCTTTGGGGGGGGGGGGGGGGGGGGGGGGGTTAATCTAAAATATCAAGAGCTAAACATATGTAATGGCTAACTATTTGAATAATTTGTTCATTCTCCATTACTGTTAGATTTCTGTCTCCAAATAATAAAAATTGAATTTTTTCATTGGAGTTTAAGTTTTGGAAACTGTTGAGAAATCCTAAGGTTTTTAGTCCTGCTAGGAGAGTGCATCTTTCTTGTTGCAGCAGAGGGCAGTTTAAGAAAAAGTGATGCGTTGTTTGCTGTTTAGCACCACATATACAAAATGGGTCATTTACTGTCGCAAAGTTATGGGCATATCGATGAGATTTTAGAATCAGATTTCAGAATTGGATTTCATTGATGATATCATATATCAAAGTTGTAAAAGTAAAATTTATTTCCATATTTTCTTTAGAATAAAACCTGTAATCATTCCCTCCCAGTAAATAACCTTTAAATCAGGTAATCTTCCAGGGCATAATAAGAGTTTGAAATTTGTTATTTTCTTTTCCAGATTTTGAATCCGTTTTATGTGTTCCAACTGTTCAGTGTTATACTCTGGTACTTTGATGAGTACTATTACTATGCCAGTGCCATCATTGTCATGTCTGCCATCTCTATAACTGCCACAATATACCAGACACGAACAGTAAGTTAAAATACATACGGACAGGGTAGGTTTTCATGTGTACTGAAGTGTTTGAAAATACATTTTAAGTTCATTAATTAAGTACTTCATTATTTAGAATATCATTTGTACTATTTTTTTTTACAAATGTTTGTGTATTTGAAATGTTTATTGTTATTTGTAGATGCAGAGGGCGTTGAAGGAGACCATCCATAGTGAAGAAATTGTCGGTGTATGCCAGGGAAAGAATGGTAAATCAATTTGGAAAATTAATATTAAAGGCCCATCTATCTATGATATTATAACTTGTACTTGAAAAACCATTTTATGGTTTGCATTTAACAATTTTGTGAATATCTTTGTAACACTGTCTTGTTGTTGGATTTACTACTTAATGTTGCATAGTATTGTTGCACCACTTTCCACACAAAACTAAATCCATTTAGCCTCAGGCCTTCACTTTCCTGCATTTATCTGTATGTTTATGGTCAAATAAATAGTGTTGGTGTTTTCCTTATTCTAGACTTTGCAGATGTTCCATCAGATTTATTGGTCCCCGGTGATATCATCGAGATTCCACGCCAGGGCTGTGTCATGCAGGTTGATGCCGTTCTCATCACAGGAAACTGTATCGTCAATGAAAGCATGTTGACAGGTAATGTATTTTCAGTTGACGGAAGATAACTCTTACACTTGATTATACCAACGAACAAAGTTTGGTAGGCATATAGTGAAGCCCTTTATCCATCAGTCAGTCTGTCCATAAGATATAATATAAGATAAATTGAATACAAGTGGACGGATTTGCTTCATATTTGTTGGAAAGTTGTTAATTGGTGAGTAATTTTTTTCAAGATGGCGGCTTTTTGAAATGGCGGAAATTTTTCATAATTATCCACTAGATAGTTTATATTTATTATCCCATCGAACGAAGTTCGGAGGGATATAGGGAACGCCTCCACCCGTCTGTCCGTCCGTACGTACGTACGTCCGTCCGTACGTACGTACGTCCGTCCGTCTGTCCATCCGTCCGGGCAATAACTCAAATACCGTTGGCCCGATTTTGTTCATATTTGGTACACATATACCCTATGGGGATAGAAGTTCTGCTCAAAAGCCGATTTTCAAAATGGCCGCTCATTTCAAAATGGCGGCCATTTTAGTGACGATTTTACAGAAATTTAGGTGCAATATGTAAAACTGTAATAGCAATATGTTTTAAATGTAAAAAAAATTATAAAGGACATTAATAATGCTATAAATGTAGATATTAAAAAGCACATGGCAGCCATCTTGAAAAATGGCGGCCTTTACTCATCATTTTACGATTTTTGCTGTAACTCAAAAAATAGTGGAGCGATTTTGTTCATATTTTGTGTGTGAATACTATATGCATTGCACACTGTCTAAAGACACTTTTGGTAGAAGGCGGCCATTTTGAAAAATGGCTGCCATTTTAACGTAATTTACTATAACTCGAAAAGTAGTGGAGCGATTTTGTTCATATTTGGTATGTGAATACTATAAGCATGGCACACTGTCCTATGACACTTTTGGAAGAAGGCGGCCATTTTGAAAACAATTTTGAAAAATGGCCGCCATTTTAATGTATTTTACTATAACTCGAAAAGTAGTGGAGCGATTTTGTTCATATTTGGTATGTGAATACTATAAGCATAGCACACTGTCCTATGACACTTTTGGTAGAAGGCGGCCATTTTGAAAACAATTTTGAAAAATGGCCGCCATTTTAACGTATTTTACTTATACTTGAAAAGTAGTGGAACGATTTTGTTCATATTTGGTATGTGAATACTATAAGCATGGAACACCGTCTATTAGTGCCTTACGGTAATGCCGGATTGTCGGCAGCGGCAGTAGATACTCTCAATTGCCGGTAATAAAATCCATTGCCGATAATCGCCATGCTGCTGCAACATGATGATTGGCATTGCGATCCATTGTCAAATTTACGAAACAATGTTCGTTTAAGAATATTTTATCAATCATGTATATTTCAATCTCCACATTTGAAGAGCTAATCTGTCAATCAACTGCAAAGCATTCGTAAAAGGCGGGAGGATAAGCAAAACCCCACCCACTTCTGTCAATCATCTCCCATGCCGCGAGATTAACAAATCACGTGACGTGATATTTCGGTGAAGTAAAAACACAAATAATTTGATCAATTTTGATTGAATTCACTCTATATTATCATTCAAAGACTTCCTAACAATACACAATCACACACAAGATACACAATAATACAATATATCCACTGTAGTTGATGTGAGCGGGAAATCAAGCTGAGAGATTTTAGGAACATTATCAGTATCAACGATTATCGGTAACGGTAAGGTAATGGAGGTGAAATTTACCGGCAGTGAGATCCATTACCGTTGCAAGCACTACCGTCTATTTCTAATGATGCTTTTGGTAGAAGGTGGCTATTTTGAAAAATGGCCGCCATTTTAACGTATTTTACTATAACTCGAAAAGTAGTGGAGCGATTTTGTTCATATTTGATATGTGAATACTTTAAGCATGGCACATTGTCTAATAAAACTTTGGGGAGTAGTCGGCCATTTTAAAAAATGGCCACCATTTTTACGTGTGTTATTTTACAGGTAAGTGTTCGATTTTTCAAAAATTTTAGAGGTGGCTACTTAAAAGCATATTATTTCTTCTGATGACAACTTGGCTAGTGAGCAACCATTTTGAAAATGGTGGCCTTTCTGGTGTGTTGTTTTATGATATTTGCGCTTCGTTTGTAAAATGCCAGCCATTTCTGTTCGATGGGATTCGCTACGCTTTGGCGTTGCCGTTGTTCTGGTTTATTAATTAGTTATTAATTTGTCATTCTAGTTTCCTTTTCATGTGAAATATGTGTTTATAGGGGAAAGTGTTCCAGTCACTAAGACTCCATTGCCAAACCCTCAGCTATCTACCAATAAGGAAGTGATGTTTAACATAAAGCAACATTCAAGACATGTTCTATTCTGTGGCACTAAGGTCATTCAAACACGTTACTATGGCAGCGAGAAGGTCAAGGCAGTTGTCATTAGAACAGGTAATTGTGTCAAGTCTTGTTTACATTAATTAAGGCCCCTATTGATATAAATATTTAGCTCTAATCCAGAGTGACAGCTGGTTTACTTTTCAGTACACCAACATTTGAAAAGAAAGAATCACAGCACAAAGAGCTATAAATCATACAAATCATGCTAAACCAAAACTGCAAAATAGTAGAATAAGAGAGTTTACACTGAATAATTGAGTAACATTTTTAGAGTAAAGGTTTAGCTTCATTAAAAATAATGAAATTTATTTGACGCAGTATCACATTTATGCTTATACTCATTGTGTGATTCAAGGTTTTCAAAACTTTCAGGTTTCATGACTTCAAAGGGTGAATTAGTCCGCTCAATAATGTACCCAAAGCCAGTTGATTTCAAGTTCACACAGGACAGTTACAAGTTTATAGGTGTCCTAGCCCTCATATCTGCCATTGGAATGCTTTATACTCTCATAATTATGGTATGATAGCTATGCCTAAATACTAACAAGGAAAATATTGTAGAATTTTTGTAAAGTTTTATTTGCTCTGAACATGTTCATAAAGGATAGGATTTTCATTTCGCTTGTGCTCATTAAAATAAAAATAAATATTTCTTGAAATGAGAAAACATGAGAAAAGTGCTTGAAAACTGATATTTATATATATATGTTAATCTTCAGGTTCAACGTGGAGATAGTGCAGGTCATGTGGTACTGCGTGTCCTAGACTTGGTGACAATTGTTGTTCCTCCTGCATTACCAGCTGCCATGACCATAGGCATCGTATTTGCTCAGTCCAGACTAAAGGACCGCTTGGTCTACTGTATCAGTCCTAGTAGTATTAACGTCACTGGCTCAATAAATGTTGTATGTTTTGATAAAGTAAGTCAATATATTTTACTTAGATACCTACAAAATTAATACCTATTAGCAGTGCCTACCTGGTTTCCCGTAACCTCCCCTGTCTTGATTTTCCGATGAAAGATTTACCATTTTATCATTTCTCATTTTGATAAATGTATGTTTGGAAATTTAGACTGACAAAATATAAATGAAGTTTACACTCCTTTCAGAATTTATTGTCGATTTAAAGTCATTTGTTGGTTCATTATTTATTAGCAACATGTTGCAACTAATTTTTTAGTCTGGCACTGCTTTCCTCCGAATGGGGATAGGCAATAACATTTGAATGTAGCATCATCATAAGACACACAGGAACCACCATTCTGGCAGGGATTAGGCTCACAAGCTAAAATATATAAGCACAGTATACCCATTTGAATTTGAGGTCAAATATTTATTATAACAAAGTTGTGTTACAGTCACAGTCTGACTTAACCTGTATATCAGTGTTCAAAAAATATTTCTTGTTTATCAGAATGTTAGTTATGTTTTCTTACTACTCACTGGCAACCATTATTTTGCCCTCCTCCAAATATATTTGTTAGTTGCTCTTTTTATGTGCCCACCACATAGTGTGGGGCCATATTGTCGGCCTAGGCGTCGGCCTAGGCGCGTCCGTCTGTCTGTCTGTCCGTCTGTCCGTACGTCCTGCAGTTTTCTCCAAAACCGCTACAGATATCACCTTCAAATTTTCAGGGATAACTTATGAGTGCATGCAGATGTGGATGAAAAAAAATCAACTCGATACCTACTTCCTGTCGGCCATTTTGAAGTCAAATGCTAAAATCCTTGTCTGCAAACTTTAAGAAAAACGGCTTCACAGTTGCTTTTAAAACTTTAACATCTTGTTCAGCTCACTTCATTCTAGATCTGATTAGGTTTTGGACCTGTTAGCTCAGTCATGTCAGCCATTTTGAATGTTTTAAGAAAAGTTAGCGCACGATAATACTTTGTATCATATTGAATGGTGTTTTTCAGTTTTCATACTTAAACTATTTAGTAGCTTTATAAATAATTTCAGGTGGACTTTGTTGTAAAAGCCTATGTTATTGTTAACAGTAGTTATATGTGATAATTTTGTAAAAAGAAATCAGCAAAAACTTATAACCACTTTTTTATTGTCGGCCATTTTGGATTTTTCCATCCTAAAATCTTGTCTGTAAAGTCTTGTCTGTAAAGTCTTGTCTACGGGTTTTCAGGTCAACCGTTTGGTAGATCAATTTCAAATTTTCAGGGATGATTCTTAGTATGAAAATCTAGATCTGATTAGTTTTTGGGCATTCTGGGTAAATGTCAAGGCAGCCATTTTGGATTTTCCGTCCTAAAATCTTGTCTGTAATGTCTTGTCTACGCATTTTCAGGTGAACCGTTTGGTAGATCAATTTCAAATTTTCAGGGATGATTCTCAGTATGAAAATCTAGATCTGATTAGATTTTGGGCATTCTGGGTAAATGTCAAGGCAGCCATTTTGGATTTTCCGTCCTAAAATCTTGTCTGTAAAGTCTTGTCTACACATTTCAAGGTGAACCGTTTGGTAGATCAATTTGAAATTTTCAGGGATGATTCTCAGTATGAAAATCTAGAACAGATTAGTTTTTTTGGCATTCTGGGTAAATGTCAAGGCAGCCATTTTGGATTTTCCGTCTTAAAATCTTGCCCGTAAAGTCTTGTCTACGTGTTTTTAGGTGAACCGTTTGGTAGATCAATTTCAAATTTTCAGGGATGATTCTTAGTATGAAAATCTAGATCTGATTAGTTTTTGGGCATTCTGGGTAAATGTCAAGGCAGCCATTTTCAATTTTCTGTCCTTAAATCTTGTTTGTAAAGTCTTGTCTACGCATTTCCAGGTGAACCGTTTGGTAGATCAATTTCAAATTTTCAGGGATGATTCTTAGTATGAAAATCTAGAACAGATTAGTTTTTTGGCATTCTGGATAAATGTCAAGGCAGCCATTTTGGATTTTCTGTCCTCAAATCTTGTCTGTAAAGTCTTGTTTACATGTTTTCTGGTTAACTGTGTGACAGATCAATTTCAAATTTTCAGGGGTGGTTCTTAGTATGAAAATCTAGAACTGACTTATTTTTGGGCATTCTGGGTAAATTTTAAGGTGGCCATTTTGGATTTTCCGTCGTCAAATTGTGTCGGTAAAGTCTTGTCTACTCGTTTTTAGGATAACCATTTGACAGGATCACCCATAGGTGGGGACATTTTGTACACATTTGTGTTCTTGTATGTTTTATGTTATATATCTTCTATAAACACTTGCCCTTGATATTTCTTCGGTATTTGTCATTTATAAACTCATCTAACCTCAAATCATATTGTCATTTATAAACTCATCTAACCTCAAATCATAGTGTCATTTATAAACTCATCTAACCTCAAATCATATTGTCATTTATAATCTCATCTAACCTCAAATCATATTGTCATTTATAAACTCATCTAACCTCAAATCATATTGTCACTTATAAACTCATCTAACCTCAAATCATATTGTCATTTATAAATCCATCTAACCTCAAATCATATTGTCATTTATAAACTTCAAGTCATATTGTCATTTATAAACTCATCTAACCTCAAATCATATTATCATTTATAAATTCATCTAACCTCAAATCATATTGTCATTTATAATCTCATCTAACCTCAAATCATATTGTTATTTATAAACTTATCTAACCTCAAATCATATTGTCATTTATAAACTCATCTAACCTCTAATCATATTGTCATTTATAAACTCTTCTAACCTCAAATCATATTGTTATTTATAAACTCATCTAACCTCAAATCATATTGTTATTTACAAACTTATCTTTATAAACTCATCTAAAACCAAATTAAATTGCAATTTATAATCATGTTTTTTTTTGTCATTTATAAACTCATCTAACCTCATATCATATTGTTATTTATAAAATTCATCTAACCTCAAATCATATTGTCATTTATAAACTCATCTAACCTCAAATCATATTGTCATTTATAAACTCATCTTACCTCAAATTATATTGTTATTTACAAACTCATCTTTATAAACTCATCTAACCTCAAATCAAATTGTAATTTATAATCATGGGTTTGTGAAGCTTATGAATGGAATAAACTCATCTAACCTCACACTATACATGTACATGTAATTGTATGTAGTATGCAATACCAAATAAAAAAAACGATAGAAGCCAACTTTCAAAAGTATTTCGTAATTTTGTGAAGTATATATTATGTCACCACCAAAAAGTGGTGACATATTGTTATGGTCTCCGTTTTTTTGCGACGGCGGTTGGTGGTTGGCGTCCGGCGTCCGGCGTCTGTAACAATTTCTTACAACTTCCTATAACTTAACAAATACTGTTTAGACTGACTTCAATTTTTTTCTAAATCATCTAGATCTTCTCAGAAGTTCAAATCTGACTTTAGATTTGACATTTGACCTTCAATGACCTTCTCAAGGTCAAAAAGGTCTTTTTTCAACTTGCTTCACATTGACTAAATTTTTTTCAAAATCATCTACATGTTCTCAGAAATTCAAATCTGACTTTAGATTTGACATTTGACCTTCAAATCTGACCTTCTCAAGGTCAAAAAGGTCTTTTTTCAACTTGCTTCACATTGACTAAATTTTTTTTCAAAATCATCTACATGTTCTCAGAAATTCAAATCTGACTTTAGATTTGACATTTGACCTTCAAATCTGACTTTAGATTTGACATTTGACCTTCAATGACCTTCTCAAGGTCAAAAAAGGTCAAAAAGGTCTGTTTTCAACTTGCTTCAAATTGACTAAATTTTTTTTCAAAATCATCTACGTGTTCTCAGAAATTCAAATCTGACTTAAGATTTGACATTTGACCTTCAAATCTGACCTTCTCAAGGTCAAAAAAGGTCAAAAAGGTCTGTTTTCTACTTGCTTCAAATTGACTAAAAAAAATTTTCAAAATCATCTACGTGTTCTCAGAAATTCAAATCTGACTTTAGATTTGACTTAAGATTTGACATTTGACCTTCAATGACCTTCTCAAAGTCAAAAAAGGTCAAAAAGGTCTTTTTTCAACTTGCTTCAAATTGACTAAATTTTTTTTCAAAATCATCTACATGTTCTCAGAAATTCAAATCTGACTTTAGATTTGACTTAAGATTTGACATTTGACCTTCTCAAAAGTCAAAAAAGGTCAAAAAGGTCTTTTTTCAACTTGCTTCAAATTGACTAAATTTTTTTTTCAAAATCATCTACATGTTCTCAGAAATTCAAATCTGACTTTAGATTTGACATTTGACCTTCAATGACCTTCTCAATGTCAAAAAATGTCAAAAAGGTATTTTTTCATCTTGCTTCAAATTGACTAAATTTTTTTTCAAAATCATCTACATGTTCTCAGAAATTCAAATTTAGATTTGACTTTAGATTTGACATTTGACCTTCTCAAGGTCAAAAAAGGTCAAAAAGGTCTTTTTTCAACTTGCTTCAAATTGACTAATTTTTTTTTTCAAAATCATCTACATGTTCTCAGAAATTCAAATCTGACTTTTAATTTGACGTTTGACCTTTAATGACCTTCTCAAGGTCAAAAAAGGTCAAAAAGGTCTGTTTTCAACTTGCTTCAAATTGACCAAATTTTTTTTTCAAAATCATCTACATCTTTTCAGAAGTTCAAATTTGACTTTACAAGTTCTCAGAAGTTCAAATCTGACTTTAGATTTGACCTTTGACCTTCAATGACCTTCTCAAGGTCAAAAAGGTCTTTTTTCAACTTGCTTCAAATTGACTAATTTTTTTTCAAAATCATCTACATGTTCTCAGAAGTTCTTCTTAAGGTCAAAAGGTATTTTCCAACTTGCTTTAAATTGACCAAATTGTTTTAGGTGGTGACATTTTGTCATGTTAATGCCTTGTTGTTCATTGAAATGCCTTTCCAATTCCAAGAGGAGATGTTGATATCTTATTGCCCTTCATTTTTTGAGACCAGCATTCAGCAGTGGTGGTTGGCTTTTCTAACAAATTGTTACAGTTTTTGTAACAATTTGCAAGTGGTGTGTAATGTGCAATAAAACTGTACATTTGGAATTTAAATAGTATCCAGCAAATGAATTAACAGTAATATTATATACAAATCCAGCAGATTCCAAGGCTAATTTTTGGAACATGAACAATAGTACTATGTATATATCACACAAAAATCATATAGATGTCCTTTTATAATGTTACTTACGGTCCACTGGGCATGGAATCATTGTTACCATTGGCATTTCAAACACAAACATCAGTCCAACCATTAAAATTATTGATGAAATTGTGCAGCTGTTCATCTTAGACTTAAAAGATGAAGTTTAAAATTAGAATTTGTATGATGTTCTGTTATAGAATAAAAGTTCCTAAAATGGTTTAAAATGATCATGTAGCAGACGTACCTGTTCAATTATTACCAGATTTATATTTGAATTTTTTTTGCTGTCTTTTTCAGTAGTTGAAACATGAAAAACAATGATTATTTAAGATAAAATCGTTTCATTACTTCATCATTTATTGAAAAAGGAAATTGCAAACAATAAAATACTGTATTAATGATTTATTAGGTTTATTCAAACTGTAAAATGTATTACTTTTGTTTTGTTAAACTTGGTCATTCCTCGATTTTTATGGAGAGGTTTTAATATTCATATTTATATTTCAGTGATAATTGTCTAGCGCGAAATACGCATAATTAAACACACCATGTAATTAAAGACATATACAGTACTTGTTTATATGATATCCCTGTTTAGGTAAACAATTATTCTGTATTTTTCTGTATTCAGACTGGTACTTTAACTGAGGATGGCCTTGATATGTGGGGAGTTGTACCTACTTATGGTCAAGAAAGCAACAATACGTAAGTTTGACCATGCACATATTACAATGGAGTATGTTGAAGAGTATTATCAAACTCTACATGCTGATGTGAACACTCACCATTCAAGATGCTCATTTTGCAATGTTTTTATGTCGCCACCACAAGTGGTATGTCACCACCACAAGTGGTATGTCACCACCACAAGTGGTAACATATCGTTATGGTCTCCAACGTCTTTGTGGACGGTGTTGGCAACTGGCATCTGTAACAAATGGCAGGTGGTGACATTTTGCATGTTAATGTCTTGTTTTGACCTTGGATTAAACATACGTAATCCCATTAAATTATTCATGTAGAGACTTCTTAAAGACAGTGCATATAATCAATGTTTTCGAATTCATCTACTCAGATTAATATGTTTATAGAATGTGAGGTTTTCATTAATCAATGATTGCTATGAAATACCACCTGTTTTCTTATGATGAAATGAATATATTGTATTTCAGATTCCAAGCTCCAGAGCATGATCCCTCTCTTTTGCCTAAGGGGCCTTTATCTGCTGCTATGGCAACGTGCCATTCTCTCACTATAATAGAGGGTGTTATAAGTGGAGACCCCTTGGATTTGAAAATGTTCGAATCAACAAAGTGGGTAAGGATAAGTTCAGGAATATGATGTTCTCAAAAAAGCATGGCTCACTAGATTATATGAAAAAGGTCACATCAAAAATGCAATCAAAAACATTTTAAGTAGGATATATAAAAAGGCATAAAATTGACTGAAAATATGATTTCAAAAATATTATTTTTATATGGGTAGTTAATTTGGCTGTGTCTTATGATTTCCCTTAAATAATATATTTTAGGATTTAGAGGAGCCTGGTGAGGATGCTTCAAAGTTTGATGTTTTCAGTCCCACTGTCGTACGTCCTAAAACATCTGACAACAAGAGAATATCTGCCAGCTTTGACTCACCAGATGTAAGTAGTTGTGGTGGTTCATTACATAGGAAGTGAATATACCAGTGGTTATTATTATTATTATATCTTGGTTACCGCCATATTTGGCGAGCAATACCTCATTGGTATATTCCGTATTTTACGTATTTTACACTCGAAGATAGAGCCAGAAACCCCTCCTTGGAGGAGCCCTGTGTTCTTTTGTGTGCACAGGTACACAGACATACAGGTACACACCACAGCCTTCTATACGAGTTGTGAACCACTCAGTCAAACACCCAGAATTACATAACACACAAATAAACTTGTCTTAACCGGGAATCGAACCCGGGCCAAGCGATATTGGTAACCTTGACTCTGCCACTGAGCCATAGCGGGTGGACTTAACATAGCACCAGTACACTATTGTACATAAAACATTTTCTAAAACATTATTAGAACATTAGTCTAACACTTGAATTGAATTCTACTAGAATTAATGACCTGGAATAATTTTCATTTCCTACATGAGTAAAATTATTGAAAAAAAGGCATTATCCTTTTTGATCCATGTTAGAAATACCATTGGCAATGAGAAAGCATAAAGGGAAACTTTTGGAAATAATAACACAAACTCCTATAAATCATGTTAACCATGCTTACATCCAGTTCTAAACAGTTTTTTTGTAATTAAAAGGTAACCAACTGAAATGACATGAAACACAAAGAAGAAATAAAGTTGAAGTACCTCAAAGATCTTTGCCAATCAATGTAATTGTATTTCAGAATATACCTTATGAGATTGGCATAGTGCGTCAGTTCACTTTCTCATCTAGCCTACAACGCATGTCAGTGATCACGCGTACGTTGGGCTCCACACACTTTGATCTCTATACAAAAGGTGCCCCAGAGATGGTGGCCTCATTATGCAGGCAGGAAACAGGTATGTGACATTTTTGAGAAAACGCTTTGTTCATGGACTCATTTTAGCCCCAAAAGATATGTAACAGTATTATACTACAAAGGTTTGCCAATGAAATTTAATGTACTTACAAAATTGTATATGTAAAATTTGTTGATTTCTGTTCTTGGATGAATGCATTACAGGGTGGGATGATTTATAGCAAATTCATTTTTTTCTGCAACAAAGACTTATTGAATTCATCACATGGTATATTTTCTTTGAATAACGCAGCTTTGGAAGCATGAGGGTAGTAGACCTGTAAACCTGCAGAATTTTTTACAAATATCAATGTTCATACATTTTATATTTTCAGTTCCTGTTGACTTCCATGATGTATTAATGCAATACACCCAGCAAGGCTACAGGGTGATAGCTGTTGCTTATAAACCATTGCCCAAGATGTCCCTGGTCAAGGTACAAAGAGCTCAGAGGTAAAGCATGCAGTGGGCTTTTAAAAACAAATTCATCCTTTTGGACACCCATTCTCTTATCAGTTTTCCTAATCTCATTAGCCAACAATGAACTTTAATTGAGATCTATAATGCAATCAAGTTTTATTACACTCTATTTTTATCCCATCGAACGAAGTTCGGAAGGGATATAGGGAACGCCTCTGTCCGTCCGTACGTACGTCCGTCCGTCCGTCCGGGCAATAACTCAAATACCGTTGGCTTGATTTTGTTCATATTTTTTACACATATACCCAATGGGGGTAGAAGTTCTGCTCGAAAACGGATTTTCAAAATGGCCGCTCATTTAAAAATGGTGGCCATTTTAGTGCCGATTTTACAGTTATTTAGGTACTGCATATAAAACTGTAATAGCATTATGTTTTAAATGTAAAAAAGTAGAACATTGATTAAGCTAGAAATGTAAATACAGAAGAAATATATGGCAGCCATCTTGAAAAATGGCTGCCTTTGCACGTCTTTTTACGATTTTTGCTGTAACTTGAAAAATAGTGGAGCGATTTTGTTCATATTTGGTATGTGAATACTTTAAGCATGACACAATGTCTAATGACATTTTTGGGAGTAGGCGGCCATTTTTCAAAATGGCCGCCATTTTTACGTGTGTTATTTAACATTTTTACTGTAAGTCAAAAAGTAGTTGAGCGATTTTGTTCATATTTGGTATGTGAATACTTTAAGCATGGGCGAATGTCTAATGACATTTTGGGTAGTAGGCGGCCATTTTTCAAAATGGCCATCATTTTTACGTGTGTTATTTTACATTCTTTACTATCACGCCTGGTGATCGTGAATATGGGACGGAGGGGGGAGCAGGCAATTTCTGCTAGGAAATTCAACAAATCTGGGAGATTTATTTTTTCAAGAAAAAGTTTACTATTGAATTGCTAAATGGACAGGCGCACGGTATGGTAGAATATGTTAGGTTTTCTGGGATTTTTTCTGAAACGATACGCATCTAAGGTATGAGATCTATTAAAAAAGGCGCAAGGCCATCAACAGGCACAAATCAACGTTTTTGCTATAAATCAAGCAACAATGGTCTGGAAGACCTGTAATAAATACTTGTAAGTGATGTTATCATAACTAAATTAATGTCATTGCTGAATTTATAAAATAAGTTTCCATATGTGAAATAAAAAATAATCGAAAATAATGAATTTGGGACGGAGGGGGGGAGGGGGGGAGCAATATGTATATAAGACATGATTAGAGATGTTTTGCGACTTTAAGTCCTTTTACTCCAAATGTCCCCATTTTTCAGTCTCCAGGGGTATATCATCCAGTTTCTTACTAAGTTAATGAGTTCATTTTTCAAATACAAGAATTCGTGTGAAGATGTTTCACTTTATAGAATTATTACTCCCCCCTCCGTCCCCTCCCCCCTCCGTCCCATTTTAATTATTTTCGATTATTTTTTATTTTACGTATGGAAACTTATTTTATAAATTCAGCAATGACATTAATTTAGTTATGATAACATCACTTACAAGTATTTATTACAGGTCGTGTAGTCCATTGTTGCTTGATTTATAGCAAAAACTTTGACTTTTGCACGTTGGTTGCGTTGCGCCTTTTTTAATAGATCTTATATCTTAAAAGAGTATCGGTTGAAAAATAATCCTAGAATACCTAACATATTTTATCATACCGTGCGCTTATTCAATTTGCAATTCAATCGTAAACTCTGTCTTGAAAAAATAATTTTACCAGATTTGTTGAATTTTCTAGCGGAAATTGCCTGCTCCCCCCCTCCGTCCCATTTTCATGATCACCGGGCGTGACTATAACTCAAAAAGTAGTAGAGCGATTTTGTTCATATTTTATATGTGAATACTATAAGCATGGCACACTGTCTAATGACACTTTGGGTAGTAGGCGTCCATTTTGAAAAATGGCCATCATTTTTTACGTTTTTTACTATAACTTGAAAAGTAGTGGAGCGATTTTGTTCAGACTTGATATGTGAATACTTATGAACCTTGCACACTGTCTCATGACACTTCGCGTAGAAGGTGGCGATTTTAAAAAATGGCCATCATTTTTACATTTTTTGCTATAACTCCAAAAGTATTGGAGTGATTTTGTTCATATTTGATATGTGAATACTTTTAGCATGGCACATTGACTAATAAAACTTTGGGGAGTAGTGGGCCATTTTGAAAAATGGCCACCATTTTTATGTGTGTTATTATGTCCCCACCACATAGTGTGGGGCCATATTGTCGGCCTAGGCGCGTCCGTCTGTCCGTCCGTCTGTCTGTCCGTCCGTACGTCCGGGAGTTTTCTCCAAAACCGCTACAGATATCACCTTCAAATTTTCAGGGATAACTTATGAGTGCCTATAGATGTGGATGAAAAAAATTTAACTCGAAACCTACTTCCTGTCGGCCATTTTGAAGTCAAATGCTAAAATCCTTGTCTGCAAACTTTAAGAAAAACTGCTTCACAGTTGCTTTTAAAACTTTAACATCTTGTTCAGCTCACTTCATTCTAGATCTGATTAGGTTTTGGACCTGCTAGCTCAGTCGTGTCAGCCATTTTGAATGTCCTAAGAAAAGTTAGCGCGCGATAATACTTTGTATCATATTGAATGGTGTTTTTGAGTTTTCATACTTTAACTATTTAGTAGCTTTATAAATAATTTCAGATGCACTTTGTTGTAAAAGCCTACTTTATTGTTAACAGTAGTTATATGTGATAATTTTGTAAAAAGAAATCAGCAAAAACTCATAAGGACTTTTTTATTGTCGGCCATTTTGGATTTTTCGGTCCTAAAATCTTGTCTGTGAAGTCTTGTCTGCGCGTTTTCAGGTGAACCGTTTGGTGGATCAATTTCAAATTTTCAGGGATGATTCTTAGTATAAAAATCTAGATCTCATTAGTTTTTTGGCATTCTGGGTAAATGCCAAGGCAGCCATTTTGGATTTTCCGTCCTAAAATCTTGTCTGTGAAGTCTTGTCTGCGCGTTTTCAGGTGAACCATTTGGTGGATCAATTTCAAATTTTCAGGGATGATTCTTAGTATAAAAATCTAGATCTCATTAGTTTTTTGGCATTCTGGGTAAATGTCAAGGCAGCCATTTTGGATTTTCCGTCCTAAAATCTTGTCTGTAAAGTCTTGTCTACTCGTTTTCAGGTGAACTGTATGGTAGATCAATTTCAAATTTTCAGGAATGATTCTTAGTATGAAAATCTAGAACTGATTAGTTTTTTTGCATTCTGGGTAAATGTCAAGGCAGCCATTTTGGATTTTCCGTCTTAAAATCTTGCCTGTAAAGTCTTGTCTACGCGTTCTTAGGTGAACGGTTTGATAGATCAATTTCAAATTTTCAGGGATGATTCTTCATATGAAAATCTACATCTGATTAGTTTTTTTGCATTCTGTGTAAATGTTAAGGCAGCCATTTTGGATTTTCTGTCCTAAAATCTTGTCTGTAAAGTCTTGTCTACCCGTTTTCGGGTGAACCGTTTGGTAGATCAATTTCATATTTTCAGGGATGATTCTTAGTATGAAAATCTACAAACAGATTAGTTTTTTGACATTCTGGGTAAATGTCAAGGCAGCCATTTTGGATTTTCCATCCTGAAATCTTGTCTGTAAAGTCTTGTTTACATGTTTTCTGGTTAACTGTGTGACGGATCAATTTCAAATTTTCAGGGGTGGTTCTTAGTATGAAAATCTAGAACTGACTAAATTTTTGGCATTCTGGGTAAATTTTAAGGTGGCCACTTTGGATTTTCCGTCCTCAAATTGTGTTGGTAAAGTCTTGTCTACTCATTTTCAGGATAACCATTTCACGGGATCACCACTTGGTGGGGACATATTGTACACATTTGTGTTCTTGTTTTACATTTTTTATTATAATTCAAAAAGTAATAGAGCGATTTTGTTTATATTTGATATGTGAATACTCGTAAGGATTGCATACTGTCTTATGACATTTTGGGTAGTAGGCGGCCATTTTAAAAAATCGTCAGCATTTACATGTATACGTGGGTGATTTTTAAAAAAATTTATATGTCGCTACTTAAAAGCATATTTCTTCTTCTGATGACAACTTGGCTAGTGAGCAACCATTTTGAAAATGGTGGCCTTTCTTATGTGTGTTATTTTACGATATTTGCTATATATTTTGTTTGTAAAATGCCAGCCATTTCTGTTCGATGGGATTCGCTACGCTTTGGAGTTGCCGTTGTTCTGGTTGAGATAGATAATGGACATGCAAACATATTTTTGTTCTCCTTGTAGAGAGCAGATGGAAAATGATCTTATATTTCTGGGCCTGCTGGTCATGGAGAACAGACTGAAGCAAGAGACAAGCCCTGTCATTAGACAACTACGAGATGCTGATCTCAGAACTATTATGGTTACAGGTATTCCACACCTCTTATGTCATATTATGGTATCTAAATATAATCTGTGATTTCTGTGGTGTTATTTGGTCACACGGCGTAATGCACTTCGAGAAAATAGGTTACTAGACCTAAGAAAAGTAGACTATGAAATACCAATCAAAAAGTTATATTTAATTAAACTTTACATGTTATTTAATGCATACAATCTATTTCCATTCACAGGTGACAATATGCTAACTGCCCTGAGTGTAGCAAGAGATTGTGAAATGATCGATCCCAACGATAAAGTGATCCTTGTAACTGTCGTGCCACCTATTGGGAAACAAAATGCTCAGATAGAATGGACGTATGCTGAGGATACCAAGTCCAAAGTGGAAGAGATCCACACAAAGCAAATGGTAAGCCAGATAACATTTGTTTATGAACAACCTGCTCGTGCACTTGCATGTTGAACAGATTTGTTGATTTGCACTTCCTGAATATTTTATTTGTAGAAGCATTAATGTATTAAAACTACATGTATTTTAATCATTTTAGGCTCTTTCATAATTGAGATGACCTAAAGTACATTATTTCACCAAGCATTTTAACAAACATTGGAAATTCAGAAGAATGGTTGGCTAAAAACCTGATTTTAAAAATGGGCATGAATGTCAAAACTTGAATTATCGCATTGATTTTGATGAATGCTTCAATTTGCAGGAGACCTACTCTCTTGAGATAGAAGAGGGGAATGAACACTTCCATTTTGCTATCACCGGCAAGTCCTGGGGCTTGATCCGGCAGTACTACCCTGACATAATCCCGAAGTTGGTTGTGCGGGGCACTGTTTTTGCGAGGATGTCACCAGAACAGAAATCACAACTTGTAGAAGCCCTGCAGGAGGTTGGGTAAGTCATTTTATTTAAGGATTCAAACATAAAAAATAAAGAAAACATTGGTTAACTTGTCATTCTCTCATATAAATTTTGACAGTGGCCGTTTCCCCCAGATGTGACGTCACAATATAATTCAGATTCCCGGATGTGCATAATGCACTGTCGTTCATGTATGGAGAATCATCTATGCTACATTCTGATTGGTTGAGAAATGGGGATGAAGACAGCACATGCAGGCGTGTCACTGATATACACATTGTATTGTATTGCAGGTACTATGTAGGGAATAGGGATGTGTGCGGATGGAGCCAATGATTGTGGGGCCTTGAAGACAGCACATGCAGGCGTGTCACTGACATACACATTTTATTGTATTGCAGGTACTATGTAGGGATGTGTGGGGATGGGGCCAATGATTGTGGGGCCTTGAAGACAGCACATGCAGGCGTGTCACTGTCTGAAGCAGAGGCTTCTGTTGCTTCCCCATTCACCTCTAAGGAACCTAACATAACATGTATACCTGCTGTCATCAAGTAAGATCACCTTCATACATCTTGTAAATACAATTAATTCTTCCAATGCATGTATTCATTATTTTAGGATTTTGATATCTCCTTTTGATGTCTCCTTTTGTTGAACGGAGATATTGTACTATACTGAATTACTCTTTTAATTTGAAACCAGTTCAAGCAAATAGCAAAGTTTGGCTCATTGTGTTTCAGGGAAGGGCGAGCTGCGCTAGTGACATCTTTTGGCATCTTTAAATACATGGCCACATATTCTCTGTGTCAGTTCATATCAGTTCTTCTACTCTACTGGATTGGTGCTAACCTGACAGACTTCCAGTTCCTCTACATTGACCTAGCCTTGTTGACGACACTCAGTATTACATGTGAGCATAATTTTTCCTTTACATTTCATTTTCATGTAAATTAACCTCGTTGTACTCATATCCATCCATATTATATAGTTAAAATATCTGGTAGGTTGATTTGACCCTTATCTTCAAAAGGTTTCCATGTTCAGTGATAATTGTATGACTATATGTGGAGGAGTCAGTCACTTTCATAGCTCAATTTTAAAATATTTAGCATGGATTCTAGTAACAGCCCTTAAATAAAGCACATGATTTCACTGTGTTTTCTATTAACTAATTTTGCATTTTATAGATGGTCGAACAGGAGCATACCCTAAACTTGTACGAGAGCGTCCTCCTGTGAGTCTGATCAGTACTGCTCCTATTATGTCTCTCTTCATACAGATGTCTGCTATGCTTGCTGTGCAAGTTGGGACATGGTTCTATGTTAAGGAACAACCATGGTAGGTGCAAACTGCTATAACATACAATTATTCCTCCAATTTTTTTGAAATGTTGTGAGAAGTAAAAGGAAATTCAAAATATTAATTTGATGCCCTTTTAATTTACGCAATATTAAAAAACTTTAAAATTAGTAATTATGCAGCACAATATTTTATGTAAGATTACATTGGCAGGGGAGAACCTTTCTTCAAATGATGAAAATCCTCTTTAAGTTCTGGGAATATTTGGAGGGACGTTTTATCAATGAAATGTAGAGGATTTTTTAAGAATTTCCATAAGCAGTGGTCATTTGGCAATGTCCAGAGACTATGGAGAAGGTGACAATTTAATCATGTACTTTGATAAACATACTTTGGTGTTACTCTATGTGCTTGTCCCATCATCAGCAATGTGCCTCAGGTTTCATTGTTATTTCGGGTCTTTCAACATTGTATATCTCTACCAGGTGACCCCTACAAAGTGGTGTGGGACAAGTGTGTGCTTCTCAAGCTAAATACTTCTAGTTGGTGTCTACATGTATTTTGTGTTCCAGTTCTCTGCTCTTTTGATCCAGAGCTATTTTGATGCTTTCCTTGCTGTTCTTGTAATGCTTCCAATCGCCTGCTTCCTTGTATTGCCATTTATTCCTAATAATCCTAATGTTCTCCAGAGGGATTATCCTGTAGACCCTTGACAGTCAACCTCTACTGGTTCACATCTGGCTGTATATACCTTGTTTCTATTTAGTGAGGTTTCTACTGTTTCCTCTGTATGTATAGAATAATATTAAAAACATGTAACTGATTCTTTATTCCATTCCAATATAAAAACCTTAATAATGACACTTGGCAATTTTCCTACAGGTTTGAGCCATTTGTTCCCAATGAAGACGACGAATACGCCAGTGATGAGGAGAATGCTGTCTTTATTGTCTCTGCCTTCCAGTACATTACTCTAGCTATCATATACTCCAAGGGTTCTCCTTATAGGAAAAGCATTTTCTCAAATTGTAAGTAAATTTCAGTAGTATTTTCCCGTGCCTCATTTTGTTGAGCCAGTAATTGGGATGTTAACATTCCTACTTCGATATATTTATATATGAGGATAGTGTTCAGCGCTCAGAGTTAAACGTCCAACAAATAGTATTTCATAAGATATAAATACATGTTGACTTTGGTGCTGTACTCAAACTTTATCTAAATAATATAATGTTGAAAATTTGGACAGAACAATGTAAATGTTAACCAACCAACAGGACAAAAGTTTTAACAATTAAGCAATACTTATTGAACACCCTATAGTATATATGCTTATGGGTATATTAATTATGCCATTGACTTTTTTTTTATTTATTTTTCCTCAAAGACTGGTTCCTGGCAAATCTGATAGTTCTAACAGCTGTGACTGTCTGGTTGACAGTGTACCCCCTGCAATTCATAATAGACTTCATGGAGCTGCAACCGCCACCCTCTATACCCTTCAGATTGATCCTGCTAGGAATTGCAGTTGCAAACTTCTTCATATGCTTCCTTCTTGAGGTGAGTAAAGTAATTTGTTTTTACAGAATGAGTAACTAAGTGTTTAATATGTGACTGACACTTTTTAGCTCATCTTTCTGTATGTCTGTCCTCCCATCCACTTGGCAACAATTCCAGTTGTTCAGATGGAAACTGCCAATCACCTGATCAAGAACACATTATGGGGCCTTGTGCAAGTAATTTACACCATTGTTTGTCACAGTTTTAAGTCATTTTGGAGAGATTAGGTCTATCATCATGTGAGCTCACTGAATGTTGCCATATTTATAAAGTTTGAAGTGACACCCATGGTAAATGAACATTGAAATAAATGCATGTGTGTATTACATGTACTTGCAGACTTTCCTCATAGACACTAATCTCATCAGGCAGAAATGCCAGAATGCATTACAACGTTGCATGAACCGTGATGATCGCTACCATTATGAGGCAGTAGAGGAAGAAATTGCAGAGCTTCCACAGTGGCCACCTGTTAAATCCTCTCAGTCAATTGTGGACCTCCTCCGTATTGAAAGTTCCCCTGGAGTAGTGGATGTAGATGACATTAGCCCCACTACTGTATTGACACCTCTCAGTGATAGCACACAGCTGATAAGTCCTAAATCTCCAGAACCAGATAGTGGTTACAGTGGGACAGCTAGTCTTGTCTCGCCCAATAGTGGCTCATCAAACCCCAATGCAATACTTCCCGATCATCCTGTTGAGGGGAATGTGGTACCATTGCTTAGCAGTCAGGAACCCACAGATTTAGTGGATACATACCCAGTCCCTATTGACAGAACCATAAGAAATGAACAATTACATCAAATGAGCAACTTAACAACACATAACAATGTACCACTTTTACAGCTAGGGCATAGTGCTACCCAACTATGACATAAGGGAGACTGGTGCTTAAGAACTTATGGCTTTTTCATATTTGCTTATAAACAAGGCTTAATTCCTGAATTCTTACAGTGTTTACAATTGTGTGTTAATGAAGGGTTAATCTCCCTTAATTGGCTGCCTCTTAAGAGTCACACACATGAGTTCATATTTGTCAGTTGCATGGGTTACTTTTTTTTTATTATGATATTATATTTATAGTCTATAAGCTGAGTATCTTTATGTACGAAGACTTCTTTTTACAACAGTTTTTGTAAAGTGCAATTTGTAGGATTGATATTTTGTGTAGTCTTCGATACTCATTTTTTCTGTTTTTTTTTAAAATTGTTACCTTATTAAAGGAAGTATATAACATTCTTGGTCTTGAAGTAAGGACCACTGTCTTCTCACCAGCTATGTACTGAGAATCACAGTACAAGTCCATATTAGGTTATTTTCTTTGAATGTTGACATTACAAAAGTCATATCAAGATTTATCTAATGTAGTTCGATAAGATTTGGTTTAGTAAGTTTCCATGTTTTTGCTTTTTTTAAATGAGACATGTGACCTTTTTGTTGGTTCTACATAGTGCATATGCAAATTAAATTACTATGTATTTAATAGCCATACTTGTATCTCTTAATCTGTGGATACAATGTGGAAGTTTAAAATTGATTTTCTTTGAGATACTGCTCATGCATTCATTTGCTTCCCATTTTATCCCTAATGTTCCCAATCCATGTTCTTTTGACAAAAGGAAAGAATTCATTCTTATAATACTATACTCTAGTTTTCCAACAGAGAGACCAGTGTCCACGTCCTCAATATTTGAGAGACATCAGCACAGTGTTTAACATTTGAATGTGCAGTGTCCCCAAGACAATTAGCTCAATAATTGTAAATATTAGAATCATTATTTATATATTGTGCTTCCATTTTGCCTTGTATTTTATTCATGCTTTTGTACATTTTGGATGATATTAATAAATGAGCAGTAGCTGTAGGGCTGCTGTTGTTAGATTTTTATTTCTTACAATGTTGAAACATTGTTCCACATATTCTTGCCAATCATGGAAGATATAATAATAGCTGGAGTGGGAGGTATTAGCACCAGCCAAGATAGTTTCAAGCTTAGCTAAAAGATTTTTTCAGCAAAAACCATGCCACGCTTATTTTGACTATATTTTGTCCAGTTGTATTAATTTATGTATGTGAATTTGTGTAGTTCAAATCATTAAAACCAGCTGTGGATTAATTTATGAATTTTAGTCCAATGTTTTGTTTTGTGTATGTGTATAATACTCAGTAGATATATTGCAATTGTAATTGTGCCCTCGAAAAATGTTAATGACCTATTGAGTGTTTAAAACTATGTTTACAATTAATCTCATGCATATGTCCATCTGATAGATTGTTGTACTTAAATCCTTAAATCATATTAGACAGTATTCTAAAACAATAGTACAGTGAAAATAATTACAATTATTAGCTGGTAATGTTTTATTCAGGCTAAAATACAGTATTTTGCAAATATCATACAGGGTGTGCCAAAAAAGATTACCTTTACTCCATTAGTGTTCACTAAGAATGGGAAGTATTATTTACCCATTCTATAGAATTTTGTGTAGAGGTCTGCTGGTTATAGCATGATGCTATTTCAGTGAAACTACTTTTGGCAACATTACTTTTCATAACTTACTTTACATTTATGTTACCTCAAATATGACTGCCATGAATCTGATTTAGCCTTCAGTGAAGTAGCCTGTTATACTGAAATATAGCACTGTGACCGTCACTTAACAATAATAATTGCACCACACATATTTCCTTTTCCTTTTGTTTATTCAGATTTCAGATTTTTAAAAAAAAATTCTATGAGTATTATATATAATTAATATGAGAAGTAATGTACACTGTAGCAGTGTTAATATGTTTTGTCCATAAAAGAAATACATGTTATTCAATTCATTTCTATAAATTACAATTGGAATTATATGCAATAGAAAGAAATATAAAACAATTATTTATAATAAAATATTACACATATATTATGTTAACTGTACTTTAGAAATGGTTATAAAATAAAACAAGGTTTAAAACAACATCAGTTTATACACTATGTTTCATAAAAAATATAGGACAAAAAGTCAGCGAATAACAAATCAGCTGTTTTGAAATTCAAAAATTAGAGCAGAATAAAATCTGAGAAAATGTACTCAGGCACTCGATCATTCATTTAAAAATATCTGATAGGCTAGACAACATTTAAATCGTGATGACAAGATTTATCTTAAAACTTCCAAGATGGCTGCCAGAATGCAAGATGGTCACCGAAAAAATAATGAGGTCTAGGACTTTTTACCATGTAACATGTGTGAACATTTGAAGTACATCTGTTATGTGGTTTTTATTTATAATAAAATATTACACATATATTATGTTAATTGCACTTTAGACCGTTTTGGTGCCTTTTGCCCCTGTTTACATCAATAGAAGAGGTGTTTTCTTTAAGAGGGAAGTCTGTTCTTTCAAACGGTACAATCATTTTATGTGGGAAAGTACTGGACAACAAAACTTTTTTTCAGAGGGTCCAGATCAGGGACTAAAGTGCATTTTTAATTTTTGAGAGGTTGTTTCCCATATTTTCCTAATAAGAAATTGTTGAGTTCTTGAACATTTTTCAATGTACGCTCACTTTCATCGTTTTTGTTGTTTACATTTTAGGGGCCTTGAGAGCAACCATGCATGTTCATACTTCCATGAGGCAAAGGGTTTATCACAGAAAGATAAAGACAGGAGGTACAAGTCTTTAATAAGTTGACTATTGTACTTTCTCATTTTGAAAGTATTGATCTAATAAGTAAATACTGCTACCCCTAATATATAATAATGTTGCATCCTTTTATAATTAATTGTCATAGTGGAATATTATTAAATTTTATATAACACATGGAATTTGTCTATGTCTCAATAAGTTGGTGTCAGAAAGCATCGTACTACTTACTAGTTATAATAAATAGCTTAAAAATAAGCATTTAGCCTTTTAGGGATAGAAAAATTGGTTTACTTGTTTTTGACACTCTATGTACATCATATTATACAAATGATTTTAGGTAAAGGAGTCATTATTACAGTTTGTTTATATTTCAGGAGAGTTAGCTATGGTTTTAATTCTATCCGTGTACATGTTAAACCTATACTTAACTTGTACTTCTAATAACAGAGGTAAGGACACATGTTTCATTATAATGTTCAGTACACTGTATTTACAAAATTGATACATTGAGTGCTGTATATCCTATGAATTTTGAGTGATATGATTTTTATCTATAAATTGGTATGATACCTGCACTTGGCTTGCTGGCTCGTGCAGATATCAATATCCATGATGTTTTTCTTCCATAGCCTGACCTTTTGTTGACCATTGTATATTCTGTTCCTCCCAGTAAATAATCTCTATTTATCCAATAAATATGCCAATTTTATTCGTATAGTAACCAGTATTGATAATATTTATATGAGGGTATTATTCCATACATATAAGTTGCATTAGTTCATGCGTTATTGTGTTAAGTATGTTGATAGAGATATAGACGTTATTAAAAAAATGCATTTGTCGTGAAGATACCTGTGAAAGTAGTAGCTACGCTATTATTATTATTTGTAGATGCAGAGAGCTTTGAAGGAGACCATCCACAGTGAAGAAATTGTCGGTGTATGCCAGGGAAAGAATGGTAAATCAATTTGGAGAATTAATATTTATTTCTGAAAGAGGCCCAAATCTATGATATTATAACTTGTACTTGAAAAAAACATTTTATGGTTTGCATTTAACAATTTTGTGAATATCTTTGTAACACTGTCTTGTTGTTGGATTTACTACTATAGTTGTTGCATAGTATTGTTGCACCACTTTCCACACAAAACTAAATTCATTTAACCTCAGACCTTCTTTTTCCTGCATGGCACTGTATGTTTATGGCCAAATAATAGTGTCAATATTTTCCTTATTCCAGACTTTGCAGATGTTCCATCAGATTTATTGGTCCCCGGTGATATCATCGAGATTCCATGCCAGGGCTGTGTCATGCAGGTTGATGCCGTTCTCATCACAGGAAACTGTATTGTCAATGAAAGCATGTTGACAGGTAATGTATTTTCAGTTGACGGAAGATAACTCTTACACTTGATTATACTAACAAAGTTTGGTAGGGATATAGTGAAGCCCATTGTCCATCAGTCAGTCAGTCTGTCTGTCCATAAGATATAATATAAGATAAATTGAATACTAGTGGATGGATTTGCTTCATATTTTTGCAAAGTTGTATATTGGTGAGTAATTTTTTTCAAGATCGCCGCTTTAGAAATGGGGGAAACTTTTCATTATTACCCACTAGTTTATATTTATTTATTAATTAGTTATTAATTTGTCATTCTAGTTTCCTTTTCATGTAAAATATTTGTTTATAGGGGAAAGTGTTCCAGTCACTAAGACTCCATTGCCAAACCCTCAGCTATCTACCATTAAGGAAGTGATGTTTAACATAAAGCAACATTCAAGACATGTTCTATTCTGTGGCACTAAGGTCATTCAAACACGTTACTATGGCAGCGAGAAGGTTAAGGCAGTTGTCATAAGAACAGGTAATTGTGTCAAGGGTTGTTTACATTAACTAAGGCCCCTATCGATATAAATATTTAGCTCTGGCAGCTGGTTTACTTTTCAGTACACCAACATTTGAAAAGAAAGCACCACAGCACATAGAGCTATAAATCATACAAATCACGCTAAACCAAAACTGCAAAATAGTAGAATAAGAGAGTTTACACTGAATACCACTTTTAAGTAAAATTATTCTTTGCTAGGAACTTGTTTACAAAATATATGATTTGTTTCTTATTTTTATTTCACACATGCTCATCAAGTTCGAAATAATTACCGTAATAGTAACTATTTCATGTAAGAAAACATGAAAAGAGCGTGAAAATTGATATTTGTATTAATTTGTTAATCTTCAGGTTCAACGTGGAGATAGTGCAGGTCATGTGGTACTGCGTGTCCTAGACTTGGTGACAATTGTCGTTCCTCCTGCATTGCCAGCTGCCATGACCATAGGCATCGTATTTGCTCAGTCCAGACTAAAGGACCGCTTGGTCTA